GGTACAATTTGGGGTGGGAAATGTGGTCACAACCCTAGAATTGTGGACACAGGCATTTTTCTTTCATTTCATCATCTCCTATCAAGTTCTCCTTTTGCATTTGGTTGTAATTCCCACCAAGTTGTAGATTTGCGAAAGTGAGTTAGGAAAAATACCAGCGATGATGAGAGGAAAGAGATGCTGGGATGGGGATTTTTCTCTGCCCAAGGACTTTGTGATGTGATTGTTGCATTGTTTTTACCTGAAACAAGCTGTGTTTAGTTGGCCAGCCCCCACTGATAAAGAATGTATGTGTCAACCTTCTTAACTTTTATTTTCCACGCATATGTGTCTTCCACAGTTCTCAATTTCTTTTCCTGCATTTGTGAGTGTGTTAAAATATGCCACTAAATGTATACCTTTGGATGATGGCTTACGTTGCTAAGCATTAGATTATCACATGGAAAGGCAGGTCCTGTCTGATATGAAGTGAAGACATTCACATGCTCTTTATCAGGTCATTCAGCAAGTACCCCTCTTTCCTGCTACTGGGAAACATGAGTCCATTTCCATGTTATAGTTTATTTGTTCACTTAACTCAAAATATAATGCATGACTTCCAGGCACAGCCCTAGAGCTGGGGCTACTGCAATGAGCAATCAGAAAAAGAAGGGGAAAAAATCCCTTAAGAATGCTATATAAACACATTACATAGTTATATTAGAAAGTGACCAATATTATGGGAAAAATAGAGCAAGGATGGTGTAGCAAATGCTAGGGAGCTGAGGACATATTTCAATTTTAAGCAATGCTCAAATATTAAGCAATCTTAAGCAATTGCTCAAGTAAATATTGAGCAAAGCTTAAACAGTATTGCTCTTGGTCTGCCATGGGCAAGAAACCGTAGTTAGTCTCCTTACATACAAGTTCTCATAGCTGGATAACGCCAATATCAGATCCATGTTGGCTACTAAAGTAGTTTTAAAATGGCTCTTCCTGCCTGGAGCTCTCTACCAGTGTGTCTGGTGGTAGTTTCTGCATCCAAAGCATCTGTTATTCTTCAGAGACAAAGTCCGCCTCAGGCGTGTTTTCATATGCGTTGCTCCAGAAATTAGTTTTGCTGGTCTCCAGAAGAATATTTCTATAGCTCATCTCATTCTTATCACTCACTTGTTTCTGCTGGTTATATGAGTTAAGAAGGATCTGCGACACTTCAGAAACCAAGATGGGGAAATAAGATCCACCGAGAATCTAGATAAGAATTTATTGCCTCTCTAATCAAGGAGATCAGAAACTGTGGTTATGCCCAAACACTTTGATTAAAGGCTGTCATATATTCCTCAAGGCATACTCAGACTGATGGAAGGCTTCCCAGGGTACTTATTGGCACATTTTTCTAAGCACATTATCCCTGTAGGAGCAGTTAAATTTGTTTTTATTTTGTGGGTATCCATTTATATTCAAGAAATGATAGTTTCTGATAAAGTCTCTGTTCTGGGGGTTGGTAACCTTTTGTGCTGATTCTGGGAGTCCTAAAAATCCAGATCAAGAGGTCACTTGTGACAGATTTGTAATATTATTGTGATTTTAAGTTACTGTTAATGAGTAAACTTAATTTGCCATATAAATTAGCCAATGCTAACAAAGATTCTCACTCATGATAGTAATTACCATAAAATTAGACTAAAATGTTTTTATTTCAGCTTTAGAGTACAAACATTTTGGCTCGGGAAATTTCATTTAGTCAACATATATCATTAAAACAAATATTTTTTTTTTCTTTGCCCCAAACCCAAAGTTCTAAGGATTAAAATAAAAAATAAAATCAATTATGATGTTTTCTTTCTGCTTTATTTAATACTCAACATGACTCATTATTTCAAAGGGCAAAAGGAAAGTTTTCAAGCTATTCAAAGTAAAATGATTTTTGACTGATTTTAACAGAAAAGTTCTATTTATTTTCAAATATGGGACACATCAAGAATTTGCATGTCATCCTTGCTCCAGGGCCATGCTAATCTTCTGTATCATTTCAAGTTCAGTGCTGCTGAAGTGAGCACATAATTTTTATCTCTCTCTCTCTCTCTTTCTCTCTCTCTCTCTCTCTCTCTCTCTCTCTCTCTCACACACACACACACACACACACACACACACACACACACACAGTCAAGTGTTAATTAAGCTTGTTTAAGATTAAGTATCATGACTTATCAGATAAGGCAGAAAACTTGAAATCTGAGCGTCCTGATTCACCGATTTTACTGGATGACCTTTGGCAAGTCACCTACACCCTTAGCTTTGGTTTCCTTATCTTAAAGACAGGCAAATCCAGTCCTTCCCTATTCTGATGTCGGAAGGATGTGGTTAAAGTAAAGCAGACTTTGTGCCAATATTTTGAGCTCCTGAGAGATGAGCTTTATTTCATTCAATGAATATCATTCTCTACTCTAGATTTTTAGGGAGACATTCAGTGAGCGTCTAGCAGGTAATGTTGGCTAATTAGGTATGTCACACCTACACTGTTGAATCAATGCAGTGAGTTGTTGGAACATGACACTTTTGTATAGCAGATGCTTTCACAGGGTTCTATCTGTTTACCAATCATGCTCTTTACTAAACTTATCTAGGAGGTATCGAGTTGGAAGGTGGGTGTGTCGTGTATGTCACTACTCAAATATGTGTAAATAGAATTTTCTTAATAAAAGTTGACATACTTTTTAAAAAGTTGGTGATTTGGTGGGGAGGAAAAAGAACTATCATTTATATTTGGAAAAGAGGACATCCTTCAGAAAATAGAGAATGGTTGATTCTGTAAGTATAGTATATTTCCCAGCTTCAAATACAGGTCCCAGACCTGATTAACATGTTATATACACTGAGTGGCCAGATTATTATGATCTCTTACTGCATAATAATCTGGCCTCTAATATATATATTAGAAGCCCAGTGCATGAATTCGTGCATGGGTGGGGTCCGGCCAGCCTGGCCAAGGGGAGGGGACATGGGTGGTTGGCCGGCCTGCCTGTTGGTCGAACGCCTGGTGGAGGGGAATATTTGCATATTAGCCTTTTATTATATAGGATATACACTGAGTTGCCAGATTATTATGCATTCAAAGATCATAATCATCTGGCCACTCAGTGCATGACCAAGCTTCCATAGTGCAGCCTTCTTAAAACACGAGTCAAGGGAGGTGTGGTGATTTAAGGAGTGAAAAGGCCATGGGTTGTAGAGACACACACACCTGAGTTTGCATCTTGGCACATTTCTTAGCTGAGCCCCCCTTTAAAAATCTTATAGAATGAGAAGAATACTCTGCCTGCCTAGGATCATGAAGATTAACTACTTTTTTTTTTCAAAGATAATTTCTATTGGGAATTGAAGGGCTGTGGACATCTTAACCATATATTTAGAAAATTTGGAAGTGAATTTTAGCTCAGCATTGGTTTGAGATAGAAGCCAAAAATTCTTTAAGGTGGTAAATGGAGCTGTGTTTTATGTCATAACCTTTTCTTCTCTTGTTCTCTCGTAGTCCCTCTGCTTGCTTCTTCTCTGTTGCCCTCTTTTAATTCTCCATTCCTGGCACGATCCCTCACTAAATGATACCTCCTCGGAATGCATTCCCTTCACCAGGTTCCTCAAATTCTTACACATGAATAGTAACAGACATTTTTATATAGAGACTAACTCTTGCCTTTGTTCCCGATCCACAGCAAATACATTTTAATATGAAATCTATACACCTTTAGTTCTGAAGGAAACACTGTGAATCACATACAAAGTTTTTAATGTGATTAAAATTCTAGCCCAATGGCATGACTCAGTGGTTCTATTCCTGGTCATGACACTTGCCCGTGTTGTGGGCTCAATCCCAGTGAGGGGTGTGCAAGAGGCTCTCTCATCATTGATGTTTCTATCTCATTCACCCTCTCTCTCTCTGGAATAAATAAAAACATTTTATAAAATGGTAATTATTCCAACTTTGCATATTAACAGTAGGGGGAGGGAAATTCTCTCCACTCTTATGTTCTGTGTCTGGGGCTTGTGAATGATTCTGACAAAAGGCAGGTTTTCAGGAGAAAAAGATATATAAATGTATGAATATTGTATTTACCCCAATAAAATGTGTTATATATTATTGATTTAGTGCTTTTAATTCTGTATGCATGGGGGCTTCACAGAAAAGAAGCAAAAACACAAAAAGGTAGTTAGAGTTGGGAGCTTATAGATTGTTTTAACAAAGAACAAACATTTGTGGAGAATTGACTAAAGGAAAAGGTGTTTGGACTCCTAAAGACAAAGAACTGTGGGAAAATGTATGATACATAAGGGTTGTTTTACAAGGTTTGTGATTGAGTTTTTCCCTTTTCTTAGTATGGGAGAGTGGGGCACCTTTGAAATGGGAAGTTTATGACCTGCTTTTAGGCAGATGGGAGAGAGCAGAGAGCTCCTACCAGGTCTGCTGCTTCTCAATTGCCTTTAGCTCAAAATAATCTTTACATCAAAGTGGCATATTTTGATCCCCTTCAAGTAAAATAATTGGAGAAAGCATATTGTACCTTAATAAGACCATTCTACTTAATATAGACCATATGACTATTATAATAAGACAGACAATATATATTCAAATATAATCATGGCTAACGGCATGAACAGGCACAGCTATATAAGTATTTAACCCCTCATCTGCCACTGTGCTGAAAGCCGGCAAGCATACCTCTTTGTACAATGCACCATCTTTTAATTTGCTTTGTTTGCTGGGTGAGCCTGTAGTTATTTTATTGATATGCCATACAGGCAGCTACCTGTACTCATTGTATAGCAGGAGGGTTGGTTATGGTCATTTTGAGGTCACTAACATGGAATTCTACCTGTATGCAGAACACAATGCCTGTAGTGAATGAGCCAGTGATTGACTTATGCTTACAGATTGTTAAATATGTTTCCATTTTGGTTTTTCTGTCTGACAGCAGCAGTGTGCAGGGTCAAAGACAGCTGGCCCCCCATGTCAGTGGTCTAGGATGGCCAGTGAAGCCACCAACATCCCAAGTCCTGTGGTGCGCCAGATTGACAAGCAGTTTCTGATTTGCAGTATATGCCTGGAGCGGTACAAGAACCCCAAGGTCCTCCCCTGTCTGCACACATTCTGCGAGAGGTAAGCCTCCCTCGTGCATGGAGAAGGGAGTTTGACAGGCCGACTTCCTACCGGGGCTCTTTCCAGAATTCTCCAGTTACCTATGGGAGACAATAAATCTTTTGTGCTTCTCATAAATCTAGAAACATAATCATGAGTTGCCAGTAGTTTACTTTATTACAAGTGGGGCAAGCAAAAAAAATAATAATGATCTAGTAGCTGTTCATTCATTTCCACAGGAGATGGATCATTAATTATTGGAAGTTTTTTTTTTTTTTAATTTAAATGTTCCCTTTGTTCTTTGTGAAACAATTTTTGCCAACCACAGTTCCCTCACAAAGGACCTTTGGTGAGAGACGATTAAAAATCTATCATGTCCTCCCATCAGGTAAAATTTTCTGCATATATGAGGGGCTAGATAAAAGGAGAGAGCCTCCTTCCAAAGATTATATATGTAATAATTAGAAATTATCAGGATATGCAATTTGCTATATGTAAAATATACTTTCTTATTTATCTTCCTTGAGTGTTTCTTTCCACTGAGTTAATCATTTATCAGAATACTCACTCACCCCCATGTCCAACTTCCCACATAAGCAATTAAGCATAAAGATTAGTGGCCTAAGTTAAGTATCGATATTTCCCTAACAAGGCTGTATATTTTTTCTTAAAAACAAATATGAATATGGTAATTATATTTTATAGCAGTTTGTTAAAAACAGTTGCTATTATTATTTAATATACTTAACTAGAATGCTATGCTTTCTGTTATAGAACAGAAAATTGGTATTTCCAATGGCTTCAAATCAATGCTAATTACTTCTACATCCAATTTAAAAGATTTGTTAACTGATTGAGCATGCTTTGAGTTGATTTACTTTGGAGGGTCTCAATTGCAACAGAATAATCACATCCTTGGTGGTGATGGATGGAGGGAGAGGTGGATTTGCTATTGGAAGTTATGTTTTTTTCCTTGTTTGCTTTGCTTTCTTTGCTGTGGGCTGCTTTGGGGTTTTGTGTATAATGTATGGATATAGGGGTTTTGTTTGTCTGTTTTAGTGGTGGTATATGGTGCCACCACTAAAACATATTCATTTTATACTTGGGCTTAAGTACTTTGTAATTTATATTCCAAAATGGCTAAATGGAGAGTGATTTTTTCCCCTCTTCACTCAGTAGGTATAGCTAAAACATGAATACCAGCTAATTGTCCCTGTGTCCCTGGGCTCATGTAGTAAGATCATTATCTGATTTGGTGCATTTGCCATACCAGGGCTCTTTCTATACAGCGCTGAGAGCCACTTGGGCTGAGTTCCGCAGAGCTGCCCCATTCCCCAATGTTCAGTCTCCCTGGTCTGTTGTTCAGTTCCCATTTCCTTGTTCTGACAGGTGAGAAGCCCCATTCTGCTCTGAGCCTGCCCCCTGCCCTCTCAGTTAGGTCTAGTGCAGCCTGCGATAGGAAGAAGGCACAGCGTGGGGGACGATCATGGCTTTGGTTTGGGACATGTTGAGTTTTAGGCCCTGTGAGGCCTCTAAGAGTGAATGTGAAGAAGATGGATGGTGTACAGACCTGGGGCTCAGAGGAGATACCTGGGAAGAAATAGAAACGTGGGAGTGTTGTGCTTTAGGCAGGCATGTGGGTGTACTATCCCAGGGAAAGAAGAGTGCTTCCCGTGGAGTCTGGATTAGCTCCAAACTGTACTGACTTAGCAGAGAAATAAAGCAGACAGGAGAGCCAGCTGAATGTGGTGTCCTATGCGAAGGGAAAATGAAATTTCAAAGAAAAGGGGTGGGAGGGGGGAGCATGGTGGTCAAGCTTGAGGAATGCTTCTAAGAAATCTAGTAAGAAGAGACTGAAATGTGTTTATTGGAGTTAGATATTATTAGTGACCTTAACGAAAGCTCTTTTGGTTCTGATATGGATTCAGCCCCGGACCTAAGGAAGGCACTTAACCTCCTTGATGTCCGTTTCCTCATCTGTAACATAAGGATATGGGCGAAAGCATCGCTTTTCCAATTCTGTCTGGCCAAGAAGCTGGAAAACGCACAGTGTAATTATTTAGAGTTTAGATCCTGGTACCAAAAGGCCTTGGTTCGAATTCCTGCTCTGCCCCTGACCACCTAAGTCCATTGGGCAAGTAGCTCAGCCTCTCTGCCTGCATTTTGTCATATGTCTAAAGGTGATCACAGCAGTACCTACTTCGTAGGGTTGTTGGGAGTACTTTGAATTCATATGTTGGCCATTTTTAGCAATACATTTTGCTGATTAAATGAATTAAGTTGATGCCCGCTAAGGAGAGGCAAGAAGAGATCAAGCTCGTGTGAGCCTGGGTATCCCATGCCTGCTTCAAAAGAACACTTCCACTTGGATGTTTTGTTGTTGTTTTAAAAATATTTTAATTGATTTTTGGAGAGAGAAGAAGGAGAGGGAAAGAGGGAAATGTCAATATTGAGAAAGAAACATGGATCAGCTGCCTCCTAGGGATCAAGCCTGCAACCCAGGCATGTGCCCTGATCACAAATTGAAACTGTGACCTTTTGGTGCATGGGATGACCCTCACCCAACTGAATTTCACTGGCCAGGGCTGGATTGATTGATTGATTGATTGATTGATTGATTACAATGAGGAAAGGAGAGGGATAGAGAGTTAAAAACATTGATCAGCTGCCTCCTGCACATCCCCTACTGGGGATTGTGCCCACAACCAAGGTACATGCCCTTGACCGGAATCGAACCTGGGTCCCTTCAGTCTGCAGGCCGAGGCTCTATCAGTTAGGGCTGGATGTCTTTTTAACAGCAGAGATCTGCTTATGGTTTTGTACATAAAAAGAGTTTCAACACCAACAAAAGAAATATGGCATGTTTCTCCCAAATGTAAAAGTCCATGAACCTCAGACTAGCTATTTTAGACAAAGCTTCTCAGCCTTAACATGTATTCAAATTGCCTGGGATCGGACACATTAGGCCTGGAGTGAGACCTAAGGCTTGGCATTTCTCCCAGGCTCCCTGGTGAGGGCAACGCTGCCTCTCCACAGACCATGACTCTGGAAAACACTGCCATAGTCAACGGCATTATTTTTTCTCAGGGACAGGGCCAATATGAGCTTCTCAGGGTTAGCTCTTGGTTCCTAAAATGTTCTTCTTCTAGTAAAGGAAGAGACAAAGGCAGTTTCTGCAGCGTGGCCTGTACGGCTGCTGAGAACATGGGTGGTATCTGTGAGAAGTAGCGGTTCCATTCCAAGAGCCCCGCTGTGCTGACAGCCCCTGGCTTCTGCTTCTGCTCCTACCACAGGTGCCTGCAGAACTACATTCCCGCCCACAGCCTGACCCTCTCCTGCCCAGTGTGCCGCCAGACCTCCATCCTGCCCGAGAAGGGGGTGGCCGCACTCCAGAACAACTTCTTCATCACGAACCTGATGGACGTGCTGCAGCGAACGCCAGGCAGCAACGTTGAGGAGTCCTCCATCCTGGAGACGGTCACCGCAGTGGCTGCCGGAAAGCCCCTCTCCTGCCCAAACCACGATGGGAATGTAAGTGGCTGCCCAGCAGCAGGCCTGCTTGATGGGGGTGCGGAGGGGGGTTCGGCATTGGGCACTCAGAGGTTCCACGTGAAAACAACTCCACCTGGAAAAGGAGTAATTAAAAAAGGTTTTTCCCAGCCCTCAGACTATTTTGCCTGCGTCCTTTCGCTGACCCAAATTATTTAAATAATAAAATCAAACTTCGTTGTGTTCTCTGAGCACAGATGGTTGGTTTCCCCAGGAGAGCTAGCCTTTGACTATTTGCAAGCTGGGCATACATTGACCCACATAAATATCTGTGTAATAAATTATGGATAAAGACTTAATAAAACCCCTACCTGGTTCGGCTCAGTGGATAGAGCATCAGCTGAGGACTGAAGGATCCTGGGTTTGTTTCCCAGGCTGCAGCAGATTGCAGCAGATCCCCGGTGGGGGTTGTGCAGGAGGCAGCCAGTCGAGGGTTCTCTCTTGTCATTGATGTTTCTATCTCTGTCTCCCTCTCCCTTCCTTTCTAAAATCAATAAAAATAAATAAATAAACACTTAATAATAGATAAGTTCTGCAAATTGAGGATGTTTAGGAAAACATGAATTACATTTCTTTATTTTTCTTGCGAGGGAAAATTTTCTCATGCCTCATTAGACCTTACTCCTTAGAGATAAATAGAATTTGAAGATATGTGAGTTGCCGAAACCAGTTTGGCTCAGTGGATAGAGCGTCAGTCTGCGGACTGAAAGGTCCCAGGTTCGATTCTGGTCAAGGGCATATACATTGGTCGCGGGATGTTTCTAGCTCTCTATTCCTCTACCTTCCTCTCTGTGAAAATAAATAAATAAATAAAAATATATACGTGAGTCCTTGTCAATAGATTATGAATTCTAAGCATATTTTCTACTCTTAGGAAGCACGATACTGTTATCAACGCAGGGGGACCTGCATGTATCATCAATAATTGATTCACAATGGCTATGTAACCAGAAGAGGTGGCATTGCGTGGTGGCTAAGAGCACTGGCTTTGGAGTCAGAGTGCCTGGTTCAAATCCCGCACTTCAACTTACCTCTGGGTTATTTTTGGCATGCTCACCTCTGTGTCTCAATTTCTCATCTACAAAAGGAAATAATCATAGTATAATTGGGAGAAATAAATGTGCAAGTCATATAAAACGTAGAGTAAGCTCTTGACAAATGTTAGCCATTAAAATTCTTTCCAATTAATAACTTGGGTCCCTTTTTTCTTTATATGATGACCATGTCAAAAGTGCTTGAAACTGCTTATAATATAAGGTTCAGGTATAATAAAACCACTAAGGCAACTAGAGATTGTTTGAGCAAGCACTTATTATTGGCCATAACTAGTGTTTATTTGCCTTATCTTGTACCAATCTCTCCGCTCATCATTGCTACAGTCTCTCTGGCCTAGGACTTGCCAAGTGGTTTCCCACTTCGGGGCCTAGCTGGAATGGTTTTTGCTCTCTCTGGATGTGGCTAGCTCATTCTCATCCTTCATGGGTCAGCTCAAATTTCTCCGACACAGAGCAGTCTTCTCCAACTGCACTGCGGCTCCACCTCTGACACCCAGTTGCCATCTATCACATCACTTCTTCATTTCCTTCCTGACATTCACCACAGTTGGCATGCCTTCATTGTGCATTTGCTGAGCTCACTTTCAGAAAGTGAGCTGCAGGAGGGCAGGGACCAGGCTCGCCATCATCCCTCTAGCACTGAGAACAGTATCTTCTACATAGAAGTATGGAAATCAGCGGAGACCAACCCGATGAAAACAAGCAAAGGCTCTGCATTCCGAGTTTGCTCAAACAAGGAGCCAGCCACCATCACTTGTGTTTTGGCAGAGATTCAGAGGCAGGCAGAGGAATGGAACGCCCGATCGTGGGGAAAAGGGAAGGCTTCAGGTGTGCCCTGATGGGAGGCTATTGGCATGGGGAAGCTAGAGGTGGGCCAACTTGAAGGGGGCACCTATGTAATTGGTTAGAGGTACATATTTGGCTTCCTCTGATTGGCCCTAAGTTGGGAATAGAGACAAAAATTAGGGAAGTTATCAATAATCAAGTCCTAGCCATTTGGGGCCAATTGTTATCAAAGTTTTTGGATTGTTGCTAGAGATAGCAGTCGGACTCCCTGCAAAGCTGACTTATAGCAGGCTGACTTCCTGGGCGGTTTATTGTAGATATGGAGTCAGTGTCCTGGGCAGGTTGTGGGTCAGAGGTCTATTTTCATACATGGTCTGACCATTGCCCATTTGTATAGTTAGTCTCTCAGAAGTTAGTCGGTACCTGTTTGTTGAACGAGTGTGCCAGACACTGTGCTTGGTTTTTTACACACCATTTTGCAAAGTAGGTGTTTGCTACCTTCCTTGTAGAAATGGAGAAACAGATTTGAACAGTTTCAGTCACAAGTCCAATTGACATAAAAGCTATACCTGGTTGGAGGAAAGAGCACACTGAACTTTTTGGGGACCAAAGTAAGAAGTACATGGTGGATTACCTCTTTTTATATAAAAATAAACATATATATATATTAAAAATAAAAGATTGGCAAAGTGGGCTGTGCAGGAGTTGATTGGCTGGCTGGATTGGTGAGGTCCGCATGACTATCAGGTGTCTAGCTTGGGTGCCTATGTAAGCAGTGGTGTGACCAACAGAAGCAGGTAGATTCTTTTTTATTGACTTCAGAGAGGAAGGGAGAGGTAGAGAGAGATAGAAACATCAATGATGAGAGAAAATCATCGATTAGCTGCCTCCTGCACACCCCACACTGGGGATCAAGCCAGCAACTCATGTCATGAGCCCTGACTGGGAATCCAACTATGACCTCCTGGTCCATAGGTCAGTGCTTGACCACTGAGCCACGCCAGCTGAGCCAGAGGTAAACTTTAAAATTACTCTGAATTTTTTTTTTACAAAATGACACTATCGATCTTAGAGAAACTTTGGAAAAAGAAATATGTTGTTAGTGCCAGAAGGACAAATAGAAAAGAATTTCTAAAGATGAATTTCCTGAGCATGCCTCACAGTAGAGACCCTTGGTTGCCACAGGCTGCTAAGCAGAAACTCTCTCAGAGATGCTAATTTCAGCAAAATTAAAACAATTATTTTGGGCTAAAACTTTACTTTCTACCAAATGCATCACATCAAATCACACTAAAGATGTTTAAAGGGCTGGACCCTCCGTTGAGGAAAGGAAGCTCTTTATGTTATGAGCACTTTCTCAATGCTGGGTCAGCGTGATTCCTCGGGAATCCTAAGATTTACGAACCAGCCAGAGGCCTTGGAAAATTAGCTGCATGTCTTCACTCATCCTGTTGTTTCTCTGTAGACTGTAGGAGTTCACCGCCACTGCTTTGAAGCGGGGGGGGCCTCATTGCACATTCAAGCCAAATGCGTGCGATATTACTGATAAATCGCTGCAGTTAACTGCCATGGGTAAATCTTTAAAAACATCTCAAGCGTCTGTAGGTTAATAAAATCCGGTAATTAACAATAAAGCAGGATGTTGCTGTCATAAACTGCCTGGTGCTGATCAGCACATGTGGATGAAAGCCTGTCATTTACTCTAAGTGCTGTGACACCATCTGTCTTCTAATTAAGCTGCCACAGCGGCCTTGTCCACAGACAAAGGAAAATGGGACTGGCGGTCAGTGATTTCAGAGGTTCCCTGCCCATAAAGCAGACACTTGAGCTCATGCCTTGCCGTCCTAGAACACGAAGGATCATCAGGCCCTATTTTCGCCTGCTTAGGCCATGCTAGCAAGAATGTTAAGAGGTGCAAAGGAGAAAAATCCTCATGCCCTGCCAGTTCCAAGTCCCCACTGCTAGAAGCCTCAGGGTTGGCTGCATGGCCCCGAGCACATTCCAGCAGTTAGTAATGCGAGTGGCCCTGGTCATCTTCTCTGTGGATGAACACAAATGGTGACTATCTGTCAACAGCAATAAGCTCCTCCTGGCCTCTGGCCCACCCAGCCCTGGAGCACCAGCATCATGGCACTCGGGATGGATGAGCTCAGCCGAGCCTCACACCTCCCACAATTAACTCTCAGCCTGAGTCAAAGCTGTCAGAACCCAAGCGCTGGCATTTGAGAATGACCAGTTGTTGACACTTTCAAATGATTTGCTCCCAAGAAACATGGAGGATCCTGAATCAGGGAAGTAACCCAGGTCTGCTGCTGTCTCTTGAGAGCAATCAAACATTTTTTTTTTAGTTGAGGTAAACTTCACATTTTAACCATTTTAAAGTCTATAATTCAGTGGCTTCTAGTATATTCAAAAAGGTTATGCAAACACGGCCACTAAATTCCAGATCCTTTTTGTTATCCCGAAAAGAAACTCTATGCCCATTAAGCAGCCAGTTATTTACTCCCACCAGCTCCTAACCTCTGGCCACCATCAGTCTGTGTATGTCTCTCTCTGGCTTTGCCTCTATGGACACTTGATATAAATGGAATTTTACATATAACATGTAGCTTTTTTTTTAGTCTGGCTTCTAGCACTTATCATAATGTTTCAAGATGTATCTATATTGTAGCATTTATCAGAACTTCATTCCTTTTTAAAATTTTTTTTAAATTTATTTTTATTTTTATTGTTGACAGTATTACAGATGTCTCCCAACTTTCCTCCCCTTTCTCCCCCTCCTCCCAGCCTTTGACCTACCCTAAGCCTTCACCACCCTGTTGTCTGTGTCCACTGGCTATGCATATATGTACATAGATTCTTTGGTTAATCTCTTCCCATCTCCCCTGGCTTCCCCTTTGAGATACATCAGTCTGTTCGTGTATTTATGCCTCTGGACCTGTTGTTCATCAGTTCGTTATGTTTATTAGATTCCACATATGAGTGAGGCCATGTGATACTTACCTACTTAGCTTCCTCTGACTGGCTTATTTCACTAAGCACAATATTTTCCAGTTCCATCCATGCTGTCACGAGGGTAAGAAATCCTTCTTTTTTTTTTTTTTTTTTTTTTTTTTTTTTTTTTTTTTTTTTTTTTTTTATAGCTGCCTAGTATTTGATTGTCCATGCACCACAGTTTTTTATCCACTAATCTACTGATGGGCACTTGGGTTGTTTCCAGATCTCAGCTATTGTAAATACGCCGCTATGAGCATAGGGGTGCGTCTATTCTTCCTATTTGGTGCTTTGGGCTTCTTGTGATATATTCCTAGAAGTGGAATCGCGGGGTCAAATGGTAGTTCCATTTTTAATTTTTTGGAGTAAATTCCATACTATTTTCCACAGTGGCTGCACCAATCTGCATTCCCACCAGCAGTGTACTGGGGTTACCTTTTCTCCACATCCTCAACAGCATTTGTCATTTGTTGATTTGTTGATGGTAGCCATTCTGACAGGTGTGAAGTAATACCTCATTGCAGTTTTAATTTTGCGCCTCTCTGATGATCAGTGATGTTGAGCATTTTTTCATATGTCTATGGGCCATCTGTATGTCTTCTTGGGAGGAGTGCCCATTTATTAAATTGGGTTGTCTTCTTCTTGTTGAGCTATATGAATTCTTTATATATTTTGGAAATTAACCCCTTGCCAGATGTATCATTGGCAAATATGGTCTTCCAAACAGTGGGATCCCTTTTCATTTGGATGGGGGTTTCTTTTACTGTGCAGAAACTTTTTAGTTTGGTGGGTGCATTCACTTCGTAAAAAATCCATCCATCCGTCTTGGGACTTGTGCCATTTTCTATATGTGTGTTACACTTCCAGAAGATCACAAATGCTTTGAGAATTCCAAACTGGAGGAAAATATTTTCAGCTGAGAGAATAAGGGGCCTGTCTTCACAAAGAAACTAACTTTAATATACTGCTATACTTTAATATACTGCTTTAATATACTGTAATATACTGTTACTGAGATTCATAACAATTCGGATAAGGTGGTTTTATTTTCAGGTAAGCAGATGACATCATTTTTAAGAACTTACTATGTGCCGAAACCAGTTTGGCTCAGTGGATAGAGCTGCGGACTGAAGGGTCCCAGGTTCAATTCTGGTCAAGGGCATGTACCTTGGTTGCGGGCACATCTCCAGTAGGAGGTGTGCAGGAGGCAGCTAATCAATGTTTCTCTCTCATCAGTGTTTCTAACTCTATATCCCTCTCTCTCACTGTAAAGAAGCTAATAATAATAATAATAATAATATATATATATATATATAAAATATATATATATATATTTTATTTTTTTATTTTTTTAAATTTACTATGTGCCAGCACCAGGCAAGATCTGACTGCTTTGTGCATATCAATCTACTGACTCCTCATAGCACCCCTATGAAGTAGATTACTATTGTCTCCATTTGACAGAGAAAAACACTGAGACACAGTGAACTGACATAAGTGATAAAGCCAGGATGCAAACTGCTCAATGCAGCTCACTTCTTCCCCAAAAAGCAGCAGTCCTCAGTGTGGTCCAGGTATCCTCAGGGATCCCAAGACCCTTCGGGGGGGTCCACAAGGTTCAAAACTGTATTTATATAATATTAAGGCATTCTTTGCCTTTTTCACTCTCATTTTCTCAGTGTATGTTGGTATTTTCCAAACCACACAATGTCTGCTATCAAAACAGATTGAATGCAGAAGCATAGGAGAGCTCAGCTTTCTTCTAGATAGTAAGCCAAACACTGAAGGGATTTACAAAAATGGAAAACAATGGTGTGTGTGTGTGTGTGTGTGTGTGTGTGTGTGTGTGTGTGTAGACTTAAAACAACACACATTTATTCTCTTACAGTTTGGGAGTTCAGAAGTCTAAAATCAAATGTAGGTAGGGCTGTGTTCCTTCTGAGGCTTCGGGCTTCAATAGAGAATCCATTTCCTTGCTTTTTTTTTTTTTTTTTTTTTAGCTTCTAGAGGCTGCCTGCATTCACTTAGCTTGTGACCTGTTCCTCGAATCACTTCAATCTCTTGTTTCTGTGGTCTCACCTCCTCCACTCTCTCTGACCCTCCTGCCTCCCTCTTACAAGGACTCTTGTGATTACCCTGAGCCCACCTGGATAACCAGCATAATCTCGCCCCGTATCCTTCACTTAATTTACATCTGCAAGTCCATTTTGCCTTAGAAGGTAAACCCATTAACAGGTTCCGGGGATTAGGAAGTGGACGTCTTTGGGGGGCCATTGTTCAGGCTACCACACCTGCTTCGCAATGTATTCTTTCAGCAGCTCTGCCTCTGTGGAGGTTACCATTGATATAACTCTGCTATTTGGGCTTCCATGTCTGCCCTGCTCTCATTCCCTGGAAGGGACAGTGCAGGTATCATATGACTTCACCTTCCTTGGCATGGCAATGGTTGATGAATAGCGGATCTGTTTTCTGGTTAATAACCTGTCGTCCTATTGACTTGCCTTTTAATCAGCAAGTGATACAATTCTAATGAGTTTGGATGAAACTGTACAAGGACTGTAGTAGTTTCTCTATTTTATTTTTTTCCCCTGGGGACACACTTTATTTTTTATTTTTTAATTTATTAGGGTGACATTGGTTAATAAAATTATGTAGGTTTCAGGTGAATGCCATTCTTTTTTTGCCTGTTAATCTTCACCTGAGGATATTTTCCCATCAATTCTTCCTCCCCTCCCCCATTGATTCTTAGAAAGAGTGGAGGGAGAGGAAGTGACACAGAGAGAGGAATGCCATTCTTCTCATAGCTTTTTGTCTTACAAAATATAGTCATCTTTTAATAAATTATATTATTCATGTTACTATTTAATGGGCTTGTCATGGCTTTTAATAAATACATATTTAACCTTTATTCTGTTTCAATATTAAAGTGATAAGTATCTATAGATATAACTCACGTAAACTAAAGCACTTTGCAGTCCTTGATCATTTATAAAGACTGTGAAGGGATCCTGAGACCCAAGGTTCCAGCACCACAGCCCTCCCCTGTTCTGCCTAGTGGGGTGGTCACAGCAAAGCTGGTTTTGTGGCCAGAGCAGCAGCTTTGGAGTCTGAGCCGCCTCTGTTTGAGACGTGGCACAGAAAAGCTCACCTTCCTTCTCCTGCTGTGAGGCTGGACTTGATATTGCCAACATCCTGGGGAGGCTAGGAGACCTCCCTGGGAGAACGCCTGGTAAGCACTTGGTCAGCAGCACCGGTCCTGGAATTATGCTTGTGTCACCCACAGGTGATGGACTTTTACTGCCAGTCTTGTGAGACCGCCATGTGTCGGGAGTGCACGGAGGGGGAGCACGCGGAACACCCCACGGTGCCCCTCAAGGACGTGGTGGAGCAGCACAAGGCCTCGCTCCAGGTCCAGCTGGACGCCGTCAACAAAAGGTACATGCATATCCCTCAGGGTCTCTTGTCTCAGGAGGATGGTAGGTTCATGTCACCCAAATAAATTCTTTGGTCATGCGTCTGTAGTCATAAACTGGTGAGTGGAGAGTCATCCCCTGGCCTTTGGCAAAATCCCCCCTTAGGTTATGAGTCGTGGCATTTTTTGTTTTGGTATCTTAGTGTGATTATGAATAAAATATACTTGAGAAAAGTGGTCTCAGGGGACCTCTAAAATTGGTGTGTGAAACCAGGCTCTCTGAAGAGCCTTTCTTATCTGCTGTTCTTGACACATGTGCAGGCCCATTGTGTTGCCTGTGACTGGCTGTTCTCTGCTGGAGCCCAGCAAAATGGTACTGAGCAGTGATTGCTCCATTTTCTTTATGTTTCCCTGTGTTTAGGACCTTTTTTTTTTTTTTTTTTTTTTTTTTTTTTTTTTTTTGGCATGGAATCGAAGGAACAGAGTAGCTGTGTGATGCATGAGAAAGAACAAAGAGAGGAAATAAATTAGCCGGCTGAAAGAAACCTCTTCACCAACAGTTGTACTAAAAAAAAGTGTGGTTATTCTATAGTATTTAAAAGAACTTGGAAACTTGCAAGATCCCAGGGAACTCTGAATTTGGATGAATTTTTCATGTGACTGAGAAAAAGAATCCAGCTATACGTTTAGAAGAGTGGTTCTCAGCCCAGGAATATTTAGCAATGTGTGGACTCAATGCAGTGTCACAACTATCTGTGTGTGTTGGGTGGGGGGTGCTATTGGCATCTGGTAGAGGACTGGATGCTGTTAAACATCTGTAATGCACAGTACAGTCCTCTGTAACAAAAAATTTCTCTGGCCCAAAATACAGTCAAGATTGAGAAAACCTGGTTTAGAGTGTGAGGAAAAGATGGGACCCAGAGTGCTTCAAAGCATCATCCATTGTTAAAAGTAGATGACTAGCCCAGCCAGCATGGTTGAACATTGTGACCTAAGAACCAGGAGGTCAGAGTTCAGTTTCCCATCATGCCCACGTTGCAGGCTCAGTCCCCAGTGTGGGGTGTGCAGGAGGCATCAATCAATGGTTCTCTCTCATCACTGATGTATCTGTCTCTCTCCCTTCCTCTCTGAAATCAATAAAAAAATATTTTTTAAAAAGTAATTGACTGTGGTAGATTGAAATAAACATGGACCCTCAGAGTCTCTTTCAACGGCTGCAATTATGTCTTATTCATTTTGTTCTTCAGTTATTACTTCTTCAAGACGACCAGAGGCACATAGAAAATGTTTCTTGACAAAAATACAGTTGTTGTTTTTACTATTTCTGGGTTGATGTTAAATAACCATGATCTTTAACAACTGTTCCTCTAGGCTCCCAGAAATAGATTCTGCTCTTCAGTTCATCTCCGAAATCATTCATCAGCTAACCAATCAGAAGGCCAGCATCGTGGATGACATCCATTCCACCTTTGATGAGCTCCAGAAAACTTTAAATGTGCGCAAGAGTGTGCTGCTTATGGAACTGGAGGTCAACTATGGCCTCAAACACAAAGTAAGACTCCAGCTGTCCTCACTCATATCCTGGAAGAGACATGATGTCTGGGGCACTTCATGGCACTGGCTTGCTGTGTTCTAATAGCAGCAAAGGAGGGTGCCAGTGGGTCCGTAGGTGTCACTGTTGCACAGTAATTTTCATTTATTGGCATATCCAGCTTTTTTTTCTCTATCGTTTTCAGCAAAACTCTAAATCTGTGACTTTAAGTCCCCAATTTATAATTGGACACAAGGCAAGGTTGACGATGAAGTAATGCGTTCAGGATGGAGGGTTAAACCGGATTGTTTTCCTTCCTTCATTATAATGTCTAATAGCCTCTTAATTGCTCTCTCACCCACACCAACCTGTTAGTCAGCTTCCAAGGGAGCCCTACCTGCAACCTTTGTTTAACTCTTGCCTGTGGATCCCTAAGCTTGGTATGAAAAGCTTCTGAGATTCAAGCAGGAATGAGCTTTCATTCCTCTGGTTCTGTTCCTTTAAGAGGTGACAAGGGAGCTTTGGGAAGGGAAGATACTGAATAATGGTCATCTCAGATGTCAGGCACTGTCATCTGTTTGCTAAGCTCTGGGTGGTGACGGTTCTGCTCCCTTCCTATCAAAAACACGTGACGCAGGAAATATGTGTGTGGGAGACCCGGGCGAGGCGGGACGGAAAGAGAAAGGTCCTGGGAATGCAGTGTAGGACGGCGCCTCAGAACCGGGTCCAGTGAGTGAAAGCAAACACCCCTTTTTGAGAGCCGCGGGCGGGCGAGCGGCCGTGGGCAGGTGCAGAGCCAAGCTCCGGCTCAGGGAAGGCCCGGCCCCAGTGCACGCTGCACCGCGTCCCCAGAGCTGAGCTCCCAGCGCTGCAAGGAGCCCTCATCCTGCACATTTTGTTTTTGTTTTTCTCTCTCCCTTCCTGCAGGTGCTGCAGTCGCAGCTGGATACCCTGCTGGAGGGGCAGGAGAGCATCAAGAGCTGCAGCAACTTCACGGCGCAGGCCCTGCACCACGGCACGGAGACGGAGGTGCTGCTGGTGAAGAAGCAGATGAGCGAGAAGCTGAACGAGCTGGCCGACCAGGACTTCCCGCTGCACCCGCGCGAGAACGACCAGCTGGACTTCCTCGTGGAGACCGAGGGGCTCAAGAAGTCCATCCACAACCTCGGCACCATCCTCACCACCAACGCCGTCGCCTCCGAGACGGTGGCCACGGGCGAGGGGCTGCGGCAGACCATCATCGGGCAGCCCATGTCCGTGACCATCACCACCAAGGACAAGGACGGCGAGCTCTGCAAGACCGGCAACGCCTACCTCACGGCCGAGCTGAGCACGCCCGACGGCAGCGTGGCGGACGGCGAGATCCTGGACAACAAGAACGGCACCTACGAGTTCCTGTACACCGTGCAGAAGGAGGGCGACTTCACGCTCTCGCTGCGCCTCTACGACCAGCACATCCGCGGCAGCCCCTTCAAGCTCAAGGTCATCCGCTCGGCCGACGTGTCGCCCACCACGGAGGGCGTCAAGCGGCGCGTCAAGTCCCCCGGGAGCGGCCACGTGAAGCAGAAGGCGGTGAAGCGGCCCGCGAGCATGTACAGCACCGGCAAGAGGAAAGAGAACCCCATCGAGGACGACCTCATCTTCCGCGTGGGTGAGCGGGGCGGGAGAGTGGCCTGGGCGGAGAGGGGGTAGGGGAGCAGCTGCAAAGGGGCGCCCTGCGGGGGCGGGACCTCTCCCCGCAGGTGAAGAGGACGATGGCCTGTTTCAGTGCAGAGCTTCTGCAGCCTCTCCCTCTGGAGGCAGTGGGATGCATTTCCCCCTCCTCCTTTTTCAAAACTCGGTGCCTCCCGTCCCTGCCTCCCTCCCTCTCTTTCTCCGTCTCCATTAAAAACAAACAAACAAACAAACAAACAAACAAACAAAAACAGGCAGTGCTGCCTGTTCATTGTAGGAAATTGGAAACGGTAAATAAGCAAAAAAGAGAATTAGGAAAGAGAAATCAGCAATTTTATAATTCATAATCGAGCAATTTTAAAGCGATGTTGGCCATCAGTACCTCCCTGCAGGAATGTCCTTGGCGCACTCCAGCCTACCCCAAAGGCAGAGAGATTGTTCGGTCTGATAGCCTAACCCAAAGGCGGAGCCACGTGCTATCTGATAGCCTTCAGCTTCTCTGAAATCTGCCAGCCGGGCTGTGGTGTGGGCAGAGGGCCTGATGCCTCCCTGTCACTGCTTCTGCACTCCTGTAAGGGTTGGGGGGCTGGGCGGGGGGGGGGGGGGGGGGGAGGGAACGGGGAAGTGGAGGGACACGTGGTGGCTACCTCTGGTAGGTTAGCTAGAGAGCAGCCCCCAAATGGGGAGGATGGGTGGAGACCTGGAGAATGGAATGGGGTTAGGGTGGAGGCCTCACTGGAGCCAAGAGATTGGAGTGTGCAAATAGCCCATCCCTTCTGATTTATTGCTTCTGATTTTTTTTAAACTATCAAAACAAAAATTTATTGAGACTAATGTTATTTTTAGCTGTTTATTTTTCTCAGTAGAAAGCAAACTACATGTAAACAAAGAATTTGATAATACTTTTTTATGTTTATATTGATTTGAGAGAGAAAGGTAGAGGGAAAGATAGAAATATCAACATGGATTGGCTGCCTCCCCCTTCTTCCCCTCCCCAAACCCAGGCCTGTGTCCTGACTGGGAATTGAACCTGGGACCTCTTGGATCATGGGTAGATGCTCAACCACTGAGCTACACCAGCCAGGCCCAGATTTGATAATTCATAAGAGAAAAAAACAGTGCATTTTAGTTACTGTATCCAAAAGTAGGTCTAACCCTCTTCTCTTTCTGCCTCTTCAGTCTGTATGTATCTCTTAAAAGAGTTCTGCCCCGTGTATTAAATGACACACATAGAAAAACAATTCTGTGCATCAAATAAATTGGGAAACCTTAGCTTAAGTGAAGGAAATGGGATTTTTTTTAAAAAATTGCAGAACCTTTAGAATCTGCTGATATGCACTTTAAGTCTCCAAGGCAGGGGAGGGATAACAGACAGCACTTCCAAACTTTTCTGATCACAGAACTTTTCCATGGAACATCTCGCGGTAATAGCTCCTTGGAATATTCCTGGGCAAAGCTATCCTATGTTCGCACATTAGGTGAAGACTGTGATGTGATATGTCAGTTGTCTGCTCAAAATGTGGAGGTCTAGTACATTCCCTGGCCATTTGTGCAGTGTGGGTGCAGACATTGATCCACCCACCAAAGCTGAATGGGCGAGCTGGGGCAGCACAGGATTGGGAGCCTCCCAGGTCTGCCACTCTGGTTCTGCCAGTTACTTGAACCTTGGGCAGGTCTCCCAGCTTCCCTGGGCTTCAGTTTCCATGTCCGTCAAGTGAAAGTACAAATATCTACTTCTGAGAATTGTTCTAAGTTCCAAGAGTAATGCCTGGCATGGGGCGGAGGGGGGGGGGGGAGTCAAGTAAATGAAAAGTTTGGTAAGGTTGGTCGAGTTTACTTAGCATCCCCTCAAACAACGTAACCTGCTGCTGCCCACTGATCTCCTGCATTAAGAACAAACTCAGTCTCAAATTCAAAATCCCCCCACCCCCAGCCAAGGAACCCCTGTCTACTTGCCTGGGCCCTGTGCAGAGTGGAGAAAGGCTCAGAGCTGGATCCAATTTTGGCCCTGATGCTTTTTGCCAGCTGGACAACTGACTTACCCTTTCTTAACCTGGTCCCCTCCTTGGTAAGACAAAGGGGATGAAATGTTACCTAACTCTTAAGGTTGTGGTGGCATTGAAAGAGAGGATTCTTGTAATAAGGCTGGCACTTTCCTGTTGTATAGTAAGTACTCAGTTCATGGTAGCTGTTATTTTACTGTTGTTATCAATCATCATCATCTCTACCTGTGATTGTCCTGAGTGTTTCCCTAGGGATATTTCCCTCCAACTACTGGCTTTGAATTTTTAGCTCCCACCCTGTCGGAGGATCTGCTCTCTCCCCTTAAATATTTGTGCTTAGAACAGTGCCCGGCAAGCAGCACTGCGTCCAAGATTACTAATGAAGTAAACATGGTGGATTACGACCAAATCCAGCTTCTGTTTGGCTTGAGTGGCGTAGGGGTGTGAGGCAGTAGAGGGAGTGACAGTTAAGGCTGAGGGCTCTGAGGCTAGACCTCCCTGGGTTCCAGCCCCAACCCGACACTTTCCCATCTGTGCAATCTTGGGTAACTTACCTAACCTCTCAGCTCTTCAGTTTCCTTCATAAAAGGAGGGTTAAAAACAAAACAAAACAAAAAAACCACACACACACCCTACCAAATAGGGGTTATGGCAAATTAAACAAATCAATAAATCAATACGCAAAAGACCTTGGAAGATAGGGAATGTAGGTAGTACTAATGAACATATTCGTAGCGGTTGTATAGAAGTAATAGTTAATCTAAGGAATTAAGAACATGATAAGTAAAGAGCTCAAAAGCCTGATTGCCCCATTTTGAATCCCAGCCTTCTATTCATTGACCATACGGTTTAGTGAAGATCATTTAACCTCTCTGTGTTCAGTTCCTTCATCTGTAACATGGGGATGCTTAACACACATGTCACTCGGTAAGGATTAAAGTGGTACATGTGAAGGCTTAGAACAGTGCAGGCACATGATAAGGACTCTGTAACTGTGACTGTTGTTGTCATCCGTATCAACCAAGTTAGGGAAAGTCAGAGGAACAGAGGTGTTTTAGTTTTCACCATCCAGGTTGAAGTGTCCCTTCGGCAGTTTGGAGTTTGAAGCTCAGCAAAGAAGTCAGAGCTAGACATCAGTTTGGAAATGACATGTATAGAGAAGTTGCTTCAAAGCATGAGTTTCAATGAAATGTCCAAGGTAGGAGCTGTGATTCCGGGAGGAATGGATGGGGATGGAAGCAGGAGGAAGGAGCAGGCATTGTCTGAGCCAGGCAGTGTACAGCCCACTTCTGCATTATCTTCTTTAAAATCTTTAGCAAGTATAATATACTTTCAGTTCCCAATGTCCCCACAGGATAAGGTACCTACTACAGCGCCATTTGTGGTGTGGTGGGGTTAGCTTATCCTGGTTCTCACACCACCTCCCACCTCTGTTCAGTGACTTCATGTTGGTAGCTCTAAATCAGTGAGTGGCAGTGGGGTGGAGGGGAGCATTTATAGCTAGAAATGGGCAAATGCTACAAATCAGAGCTCCTCTGCAGCCCCCAACCCCTGCCCCTCAAGAGCTAAATTGCCGGGACAACATCCATTATCCTCCCCATAAAAGGAATAGAGGCTCAGTGGGCTGGTACGGAACCCAAGCTGTCTGTGACCTCAGGCCCTTTCAATCACACAATAACTCCTCTTCACCTGAAATGTCCTTTAACTACTGTCGTTTTTTCAAAGTTGAGGAATTTGATACCTCCCACGCCTGAAAATGTAATGATATGCCCACAGTGAATGACTTATTGTGTTTCTCTAATACTGTATTGCAAAATAGTCCTGAATGACTTTAGGGAAGTAGCTTAAACTCTGTTGACAGTGATTCCTTGAAACACTAAGATTGTTTTCCCCTACAGTGTCAAGTTTGCTGACTAGGAGCCACCAGCTGCCTTTGTCAGCTATTAAAGAAAGTCGCTGAACAAAAGGGAAGCCAGAAGATGTGGGAGGGAGTGAAAGAATTACAGTTGAATTGTTTCAAATGATGTAATGAAGACACCATACCTTAGTGAGTGATGGGAAGTGAACGAAGCACTCATTTTTACTCTAAAGCAGTGAGCTTCTCCCCCTTTTCCCCCCAATGTAAAATCACTTAGCATGAGTTCAGAAGCTTTACAGGAAGATAGGGCATTTTACGTCCTTTCCTTTGCCTCACCTCTCTCTGCAAACCACCACCTCCCCTCCCTGGAACCTTGGAGGAAGGAGACAGTACTAATTTGGCATGAGGTCATTATACGCACCCTGCCCTCACCCGCCTTGAGCATCTCATCCTTGGGAACTGTTCTTGCATGTTAGGTGGGAAAAGATGCCAATAATATTCACCAATTCCTAGGTAGGCACAGTGCTGTGTTGTAGGATAAGTAGGGTGCAATAGGAAAGATGTTACACCTGCCCTAGGGGAGCTCACATTTTAGGGAGGGAGATAGACAGTTACACAGTGAGAATACCATATGATAAGGAATGGAATAATCTAAAGGATTAGGTTATTGTGAGCCCAAAGGGTAATTATCCGCATTCACCTCAGAAACCTAGCATTCTAAGGTCCAATTAGAAGGAAGCACTGTGCATATCAGAAGAAAAGAAAAGTGTATTATGTGAATCTCCTAATCTTCTGGTCAGGAGAACCCAGGTTTTAGTCTTCACTCTGTCTCTGTTGCCTTTGTGATGTGTCTAGTTTCAATTTTGCGTCTCTGAAATGGACCGACAGAGACTATTTATCATGTTAACTCATGGGGTTATAAGGCGAGCACGAGAGGAAGTATATGAAAGTGCTTTAAGTATTATGGAACATTTCATTTTCCCATGAATTAATGTGGGTTGTAATTCATCTGGGCACTTACTCAACAAACATTTGTTAAGCACCTACTTGAAGATCCTGTGTTAGACCTTATATTTGGCTCACTTTCATCTTTTGCTTTATCCCATTCTAAGTATCTTGATTAACTTAGCATGAATTTTCCCATTAAGTCATGGGGCAGGGGGAGGCTTATAGTTATTGAGCCTCTATTTCAATTCAGGGTCCTGTTACCTTGTTGCCTTACTTCTATAATTTTCCTGGAGGCATGGGTGGAAGTGAGTATAGTTTAACCTATGGGAAAAACAAGTTTAATTCTCTTATGGCATTGTTGCCAAGTTACTTATAATTATTTTTAAAACTTAGGCTACTTGCTTTACTAGCCAAATGTAACCATCAAATGAAATCTTTTACATCAAAGTAGCAGAAAAAGATTTTATAAGTACTTCTTGTGTTTTGTGTTTCAGTTGTATTTGTTATGAAAGAACTAATTTTCATTTATACTTAGAATACTTTGGGGGGATTTTTCTACAGACTACATAGACTTTACTAAAAATCTTGAAAAGTAAAGCATAAACCCAAATTATTTCTAACTTCTGGATTTTTGTTTATTTTATATTGGTCTCAAGACACTTTATCAACCCTTGGGCTGTGGCCTTTTCAGTATAATGATAATATGCTGTAGTTCTGCATCATTACTCAACATCAAGATTTTCCTAGTTTAACTGCTAATAAAAAATAGGAATTAGTTGTCCCTCTAGGGCAGGGTGGGAACCTTTTTTCTGCCAACGGCCATTTGAATATTTATAACATCGTTCGCAGGCCATACAGCGTTATCAACTTAAAAGTTATGTTGCTATGGAAAAAGCTCCTAGGATTATTGAATTTTGAGTCCCGCCTGCGGTTGCCTTGGCAGGGCCAGACCAAATGATAAGGCTGTGCCTGCAGGCCAGATGTTCCTCACCCCTGCTCGAGAGTATGGTACTGGTTTTCTTTAATCCATCCTCGGGAGTAATGCTGTGATCCTGTTGTGCTTAAAAAGCACAAATGGAGGTTTTAAAAAAGATGTTGACCAATAGCTCTGACAAGACTAAAAGGGCTCCTTAGAATCAGAAGGTTGGCTCTGGCAGATGTGGCTCCGTGTCCTCCCGTGTACCAAAAGGTTGCTGGATCTCCAGTAGGGGGCGCACAGGAGGCAGCCGATCTATGTTTCCTCTCTTTCTAAAATCATATTTTAAAATAAAAAGAAAACCAACAACTAAAAAACTAAAAAAAAAAATTTAAAAAAATCAAGCGATATTACCAGTAATGCAACCCCAGCAACTTGTAAACTGAGCCATGCAATTTAAGGAAACAGATTTTTTCGAAATATTATAAAATTAAAATGGCAATACGTATTTCATGTGGTTCTTTTAAAAATGTATAAGTAACCGCAGACTAACATACCAGTATGTGCCTCCAACCCTGTGATTTTTTATTTACCTGTCGGGCAACAGACTCAAGCTCTAGTTAACTCGAGTCCAAGTGAAAGAGCTGGGCCAGCACACCCCTTAGAGCTCAGTACAGGCTGGAGAAAAAGTGTTGGCCTGGCAGCATGGTCTTTGTGGCAGTTCCATTGCTCTCATGACCCAGTATTGGCAGGTACTGAGCATCTCACATTCATTTCAAACTGGGCAGCGTCTTTCTGTGCCTTGTTCGGAATGATAGTGATGTGGAGTCTAACTGAATATATCCCCAAGTTTTTTCATTTATACGGAGGCTCGAAAGGTAAAGAAAAAAAAAAAAAAAAAAAAAAAAAAAAAAACTAGTGTTTTTCTTCCTCCACCATCACCTTTATATCTTCAGAAGAAAAATATCTTCGACTGAATAAGGCACCCCTTAACTCCTAATAAGCATTATTCTCACCATTTTTTCTTCCTTTCAAATATCGACTGCTGCTGCCTACAGAGCCTTCTCTCAGTGGAGTAGGCTTTGTTTGTCCTTAGGAGAAGGGAGAAAAGGTTAAATGGGAGAGGAAAGCATCAGGTTTTTGTCCCCTAACAGGACCAGAGAACAAGTAAACCAATGTTCATTGTCTAGTCTGTTTAGGTGCTTTTTATTTTCTCCCCATTTTCAATATTTCTTACCCCAGCTTGTTTGCCCTCTACTAATGCGTACTCCAACTTTACATACACCAGGACCTAAAACAGCCTGTTTATATCCCAATGCAGTTGTAGAACTCTTACTTTTTTTATTGTGTTTCTTTACTTGAGCCTCGGTTCTTCATCTTGCTAATGTCCATGCTTTTCTTTTAATAGTTGTTGTGTGTTTTTTAAATATGTTTTCCTTCATTTTATAGAGAGAGGGTGAAAGAGGGAGAGAGAGAAAACATCGATGTGAGAGAGAAACATTGATCAGCTGCCTTTTGCATGCCTGCCACCAGGGACCAAGCCCAAAACCTGGGCATCAAACTGGCAACTATTTGGTGGATGGGGTGATGCTCAACCAACTGAGCCACACCAGTCAGAGCTGTTTATCAAAAAAAAAATTTTTTTTTAAAAATATATTTTATTGATTTTTTTACAGAGAGGAAGGGAGAGAGATAGAGAGATAGAAATGTCGATGAGAGAGAATCATCGACCAGCTGCCTCTTGCACACCCCCTACTGGGGATGTGCCCGCAACCAACGTACATGCCCCTGACCGGAATCGAACCTGGGACCTTTTAGTCCGCGGACGGATGCTCTACCGCTGAGCCAAACTGGTTTCGGAAATGTTTATCAAAATTTTTGATAAGTTAAGTTTTTATTCTTGACAGACCCTGCCCTTACACCTACTACCTTTTAAACTGAGCATTTTAGAATAGTTGTTTCTTGTCTTAGTCCTTCAGTTTTCCTGTATCATTAACCATTTGTTATTGAGCTATCAGAGAGAATTAATGAAAACTAGTACTAGCCCTAGCTGGTTTTGCTCAATGGATAGAGCATAAGTCAGGGGACTGAAGGATCCCGGGTTCAATTCCAGTCAAGGGCATATGTCCAGATCGTGGGTTCAATCCCCATTAAGGAGTGTGCAGGAGGCAGCCCATCAATTATTGTCTCTCATCAGTGATGTTTCTAACTCTTTCTCTCTCTCTGAAATCAATAAAAAATATATTTAAAAAACAAACAAAAAAATAGTACCATGTTGGCACATACCTCTTTCAAGGATAACCCCTTACCCTGCCCCCACCGGCAGGCACCAACACACCATTTAAAAAAAGAGTGTTAGCCTGGCCGGTGTGGCTCAGTGTCAACCCAGGAACCAATAGATTGCCAGTTGGATTACTAGTCAGGGTACATGCCTGGGTTGTGGGCTCTATCCCCAGTAGAGGTGCATGCAAGAAAGCACTGAAAGTCAAATGTCTAGCTTTCTCCTAAGAGCTGCTGAGTGAGAGGGTGGGGTTTGGGCAGAGCTCTAAAATAAGGCTCTCTCCTATTGCATGTCCTCAATTATAATGTTAGTTTTTATTTTTGTCTTTATGAAACCCTCTAGTAAAACTATTTTAATCATAAACTACAACTTCATAAGAGAAGATTGGCATCTGCCTAAAAGAAGATTTTGTGAAGATTTGATTGGTCTGAAAGAGAGGTTTAGACCATGGATTAGGTCATGGGGAGAGGGATTTTTTTCTTTTTAAAAAAAATATAATTTACAAATAACGCATTCTCAGGTTACCTATGGACACCTGAAGTAGTCTCTTGCTGGAACTGAGAAATCTAATTCTCTGTTGCTTAATTTATGTTATTTTTAACGTTTATTTTTAGGCACCAAAGGAAGAAATAAAGGAGAGTTTACAAATCTCCAAGGGGTAGCTGCGTCTACCAGTGGGAAGATATTAATTGCAGACAGTAACAACCAGTGTGTGCAGGTACAGACTCTGATTGTTTACCTTTGACCCTGGTGGGTAAAATAGGTACAGTGTTTTTTTTTTTTCCTTCTTAAGACTTGAGGTACTTGGTACAATACACGGGAAGCTTACAATGTGTGCATAGACTTCTCTTCAAATGGAACTTGCAAGTTCTGTCCTGCAGTGCAGATGACAGAGTTTCTGGCCTGTTTCTGCTTCACTCACTTCTGTGCGAATTCTCACCCCATGACTGCGATTTGTTTTACAGATATTCTCCAACGACGGCCAATTCAAAAGTCGCTTTGGCATACGAGGACGCTCCCCTGGGCAGCTGCAGCGGCCCACAGGCGTGGCTGTGCATCCCAGCGGGGACATCATTATTGCAGATTACGATAACAAATGGGTTAGCATTTTCTCTTCAGATGGGAAGTTCAAGGTGAGATTCATTACTGATTAACCATTCACAGTAGAGAGAAGGAATGGGAAATATAAAATGAAATTGTCTTTTTTCCTTTCTGAGATCCAATGAAGTATCCAATAGTTCTTCATATACAAAGACATCTTGACTGTTTTACATCTAAGTTTTATAAAGTATGAGTAACAATGATATTGTCATAAATCTACTTTTATGGATCCTACAAATGGCTTCATTTTATAAAGCAGTTTATAAACTAGGTTTAAGGGATAGTAAGAGGCAATATATATTTTCCAAAATAACTTACACATTGTCATTGATGAAGTGCCTTCTACTTTCCCAGACTTGTGAAAGGTAGATGTGAGAAACAATTGTAAGACACTGTCCCTACCTTTTAGAAATATACAAGCTCCATACACAAGAAAAAGAGACCAATACACAAGAAATGACAAAATAAAAAAAATCCTGTCAGCCTTTATTCAAACATACAATGCTTGGTACAATCTACAAATAGAGTGTTAAAGTATAGAATATAAGAACTGGAAAGAAAATAAAATGAAGGCTGGCTTCATGGAGAAAATACAAATTGAGCTGCCCTTTGAGGCATCCCATCATTTGACATAATCTGTTCCTGGCATCTTTCTGTTTCTTCGGCAAGTCACCTTAAAGAGCTCTGTGCTGATAACAGGATTCTCTCCCCTAAGGTGCCATCAAAGAGTATGGTCACCCAGCTCGTTTTCCGCGCTGTTCGTGGCCAATCATGTAACTTCCTTGAGCCTTGATCGCCTCATACTTCCATTTTGCATTTGAGACTTGGGTAAGGGTTACATGAGATTTTATTTCTGGATCTTATATGTGCCTCATATGAAATAGGCATCAAAGAGCATTTCTCACTGATGCTTTTAGGAACCTTGTCCGAATCCTGAAGTCTGCTCAGTTGGCCATGATTTGGGTCTCATGGCCTCATGCCAGCCCCTGGAGGCCATCCCTTCCTCATCTAAGTGTTCAGAGCCAGTGCTTTTCATAATCCAGCTGAATCCTGAAGTTGCCGACATTCACCCACTGGTCTCCATTGGAGAAACTTATATTTCCCTTTTTAAAGTTGTTAGATCACTCCAGTCATAGCATTTTTATTAAATAGGTTACATAATTATGCATCTTCAGATTGGAGCCTCTATTTGTGTGGGGCAGCATCTTTCCAACCTAGGAAAATTAAAAGCTATTGTTTTAATTCTATCATATTGCACAGAAGTCTTCAATTGCCCTTGATTTCCCCCCCCCCCATTAGTAATGTAATGCCTTTGTATGATGGCCATGTACACAGGAAGGTCTCTTGCCTTTCTATATCTCTAACTTCTTTCCTTTTGTGTTTTCATAATTATATTTGCAGTATGCCATACCCAAATATGACAATAGAATAAAAGCTAACCAGTGACCTCTTGAAAATATCTATCTAGTTTGGAGACAACCCATAGTTTTTGTTTCATACTCAAACAAATCCATAAACTGTCTTTTTAATTTCAGAATTAAATACACTAAGTTAGGTATTGAAATAGGAGTTTTGTATCTATTAGAATATTTTACAATCTACTATATTAAAACATTAAAACAGAAGAGATAATGATTTCTTGAATTAAACATTTTTTACTCAGTGGTTCAATATTCTATATGTAATAGACACTCTCCTGGAAGAATTGGATTCTCATGGTTGGAATACCGTTGATAATAATTAGAATAAACACTGAAGAACACTCATGCCCCCTAGAGGATTTGGGAATGGACATGATGTCGTTTTAGCATACCATTCCCAACCTCTTTTGTTTATGATAGATCCAAAACATCTTTACTTACTTACTATTCTGCTTACATTGTCAGGTCAAATGCTATTATTCTTATTTCACTTGGTTGACTCTAATACAGCTAACCTAGGATTGAAGGGAAGTTGAAGGAAAAGAGGTTTTGGTTCAACATTTAAGTTTTTTTTTTCTTTTAGAGCGGCACTAACTAGTTCTTAACTACATGATAGTGTGGCAGTAATCCTTTATTTTCTGTTTTTAAGTTACAAAATTATCATCCACTTGGTATTATTATATGCCTGCGTCATTCTAAGTAATAACTAGTGTTCATAACGTTAGATACTAATAATATTCTTGTTTTAATAAACAGTCTTCTCTTGATCTCTACGGACATATCTTCTATTCATGCATGAAAGAAAGTACACAATTTCTTTGTAAGCTATTTTGTGATAATGTCTTTGATCTTTGGGCTAGATGCAGAATCAGAATCAAATTTATACGACATTCCCTTTCCAGAATGACATTGTTTCCTTCCTAGGTAAATACATGTCTTTGTTCTAAAGATCTCAGTTCTGAATCTCAGTCATTTATAAACTTCCAAGAACTAAAAATTATACAAAGTCTAATCCCCATCCTTCTTTTCATACTCTTTTTTTACCCATATCTCCGTGTCACTGTTAGGAAAGAAGGTCATCCTGGGGGTCAGCTATGATACCAGCTGAGTAGGGTGAGGGAGAAGGAGATTACCCTGATGCCATATGCTGGGGTTGACATTGTCCTTTATCTTTCAGAATCTGCATGACCCAGGGAGTAAATAACATAGTTGCCATTTTACAGATAAAAAAAACCGAGGTTCAAACTGATGAAAGAATGAATGAATTTTGCTGTGAAATTTTGATCCTGCTTAACTGGATGAACTGTGGTATCAAAAGAATTAGAAAATCAGGAAGTGCTACATTGGGGTTTCTTTTCATTTTTTTAATGGTGGAAATGAAGGAGATAAATTTGCTTTTTACAGTGGTTGAGTTTAAGGTGAAACTTGTAAAATAGGCCAAACCGGCCAGGTTGCCACACTGCCTCTTTAGAAGCTAACTGTGACCCCCAGTTAAGGCAATTCCAGAACGTTTTCAGTGGTTATCCCTTTTAAAAAAACAAGGATTTCAAGTAAATATCAATCACAGATAAAAGATGTGACAAAGACAACTTTCCAGGACAGAGATCATTGTGACATGAGTCCCTGGGTCTGCTGCTTGAACATTCTAGTGAAGGTTTACCAGGAAAGATGTCTGCCTTTGTGTTCTGTGTAGTGTCTTAATCTTCTCTGCTGTACTTGCTTCTGACAGACAAAAATCGGATCGGGAAAGCTGATGGGGCCCAAAGGCGTTTCCGTGGACCGCAACGGGCACATCATCGTGGTGGATAACAAGGCGTGCTGCGTGTTCATCTTCCAGCCAAACGGGAAAATAGTCACCAGGTTTGGTAGCCGAGGAAATGGGGACAGACAGTTTGCAGGTACACTCGATGGTAATATGTACACCCCCTTTTTTATGCCTCTTCTGCTCACATTTGCATGATGATGGAGCATGTTGAAGACGCCTCACCCCCAGTATGCTTTCTGGCTTATGGAAAGATACTGGGGATGAAATCTAAGCAAAAAGCATGGTTCTATGCTCCTCACGGATGTCCCCCACAGTAAGCTGAACTGTCATTCATGCGTGGTTTTGATTGGTAGCTCTTCACAATTCAGAAGTCTAATCGACAACTGCTGGAAGTAAATAAAATATATATTTTACAATAAAATATTTTTGTTTTATATATTTTATTTACTTTTTTTTACAGAGAGGAAGGGAGAGGGATAGGGAGTTAGAAACATCCATCAGCTGCTTCCTGCACACCCCCTACTGGGGATGTGCCTGCAACCAGTACATGCCCTTGACCGGAATTGAACCTGGGACCTTTCAGTTCACAAGCCAGTGCTCTATCCACTGAGCCAAACCGGTTTCGGCTAAAATATTTTTAAATAAGAATCTATTTAGGAACAATTCCTGTCTCCACCTAGCCGTAGCTTTATTTAAGGAACCTCTGAATGAGAATTTTTCCACCTTTTTTAAAAGGTGATTTTAACAGAGTAGGTGTCCAGAGCATTTGCCTCGTATGGGAACGGCAGTCTCTTTAGTTTCTCTCTTTGGTTCACTGCGTTGCAGTCACATGCTTACTTAGTTTCTCATGTCTGCAAGAAGAGGCTGAAAGCAGTTTACTAAATTTCCTTCTTGCAAGGATGTTTTTGGCACGTAACCTTAACTTGCATAATCTTTCTTTGTGCTTTGCTTCCAGTTCTGCCAGATTCTGAATGTCACCCAAAATTATAAAATGTGGGTTATCTGCTCTACTTTATAAAAAAAAATCTTATATGTTAGAGTCTCTTTTCCTCCATGCTGAGAGTTACTGTGCCTTTTCCCACTGGGAATAGAAGACCCTAAAATGACTAGCACATACTCAGACAAGCTGGCAGATGTGACATTCAGATGGTGGTTTGGAGAATGAATACTGATGCTTATTGCTCATCCATTCTCATTAGGGCTACTGGAACTCTTAGCTGGATCTGGAAGGAGTCAGCATAGACAGTCACAGATGTAAGGTGATAGAGATTCTGGAGCCAGAATCTGGAGCCAGAGGTCTGGCTGAATTATCTTTCAAGGACTGAGGCTCACTGCCTTTGTTCTTTCTTAAATAACTAATTAATATATTGTGCTATGTTGTCATAATCATTTTTGTTGTTATGGTCATCTCATATTTTTTTTCATCTTTATTGCAGGTCCCCATTTTGCAGCTGTAAATAGCAATAATGAAATTATTGTTACAGATTTCCATAACCATTCTGTCAAGGTACTATAAACACATCAATTGTTGTTACCTTTCAACTGCTTTGATTGAGAAACCCGTCTGGGAGAAAACAATGTAATGTTCACATATATTCAAAGTACCTAAAGGAGTTAACCTAGAAGAGCAGATTTTTGCTTCTCCTTAAAGATGCAGGTTTTAATTTGGACATACACACTTTGGAGAGACAGAAAATTGAACAAAATATGGTGGCAATAAGTTTCTTAATTTGAAATTATGTACATGGAGACAACTTGGAAATTAAATTGGAAAAAAGCAATTGCTTGAACTTCAAGAGGCAGAACTTTCTGAAACTTAATATTTCATGGCTATTTAATAATTGAAACAAAACCACTTTATCGATTTTCTGCATCATAAGGCCTTTCAAACAAAATTAGATATTAGAACTCTGCGACAACAAAAAATTTGGGGAGGGAAATAGCCTTAAAATTCATTCATATAGCGTATTTCATACTTCTTAGAATGTTTTCACACAACTGATGTTCCAAAGAAAACATTGCCCACTCCTGTTCCCCAAATAATATAGTACCTCTTTCCTCTTCTTTCCTCTATCTCTTCCTCTTCCTTTTTCTTCTTCTTTAATATGGTTTTATTGATTTCAGAGAGGAAGGGAGAGGGAGAAAGAGATAGAAAAATCAATGATGAGAAAGTATCATTGATTGGCTGCTTCCTGCACGCCCCGCACTGGGGATTGAGCCTATAACCTAAGCATGTACCCTGACTGGGAATCAAACTGTGACCTCCTGGTTCATAGGTCCACACTTAACCCCTGAGCCATGCTGGTCAGTCGGGCCTGGTGTCTGTCTGTCTCTCTCTCTCTCTCTCTCTCTTTTTCTCTTCTCTTTGATAGCCGTTGCCCTTAGCTTTTATGGATAGCTAGAATTTTTTGTTTGTTTTCCATATAACACAGAGCCATTAGCAATAGTTTTGGATTCAGGTCACATCTCTTGATAAATATAAAAATTATAAGACCTATAGGTCATGGCTAACAAGTGGTCTGGTTCATTCTTTACCTATCTTCATTATATATTTTCTTTCTGTGGCAAAACAGGTAAGACTAGATTTAGCATTCTCCATCATTCCAAGACAAAGCAAAAGCACCTAAGCCATTTGAAGCATGCCAAGGAAAACATATTGACTCAGAGACAATGCAAACAGACCAACAAAAGGTTATTTGTAGGACCTAAGAGACAGATCAGAGAATAATAAATTGTGTTCTTATGAGCATACTAGCACTTACATTGGTCTCTTAAGCTGGAATGCTTTATGTGAAAGAAGTTGAAAGAGTCAGGAGAGGTTTTTAAAACATGGTATCTTGGTAAAAGCTAGTTCTTGCCTGTGTCCTTTGCAAAGGACCAAAGTGGTAACTTGCTTACTTGGCAAGCAATTAATTCAGGAAGTGGTCAAGACTTTTTTTTTTTTTTTTCTTTTTTCAAATTTTAAAGTAAGTTTAGACTTTAGAGATGACAGTATCTCACTTTCTTGAGGTAGGTAAGTAAAAGAGAGCCATTTCTTGGTCACAGAGATGGTGACAGGAGAATCTCTAAGAGGTCCTGAGACCTTCCTCAGATTAGATCTGTGTTTAGATGTAGTGAACTTCCAGTTTCACATCTCAGGAACCCTTACTCTCTTGGTGCCTTGGAGCTAATACCTTTGGATTTTTACTGAGTATTTCCACACAGGTAGACTGCATAATAATGAAACTTAAAATAATATCCTGGAGACATTTCAAAACCATTAAGTATCTTCTGAATCATCAAGATAAAATTATGCTTATATAGTCTTATCATTAACACTTATTCTCTCAAAATCAGTAATCTATATTTGATACATATATATCCACACTCAAATAATAAGAATGTTTAATTAAATGCAACAACCCATTGCTTGCCCATATCAGATTAGAGAATTTGCTTAAGAGTTCTGTTTAGTTCCCAATTCTGTCAGCCTCCCTTCTCTCAGCAGTCTCAGGATCATATAAACTCTCTATTTTAGCTAAAAGATATTCTGAAAAAAAATATTAAAAGCCCTTATTTTATTACTCACCTTCTGTGTTCTCTCTCTCTCTCTCTCTCTCTCTCTCTCACACACACACACACACACACACACACACACACACACACAATTTTCCCTGTTATAATTGTGAAATCCAGCCTATTCTTTCTTGCTATGTTGACTTAATAAAATGGTAATAAATTCTAAGCATATGGCCTAACAAAAAGCTCCTACTTTCTGACCCAACTTTGAATCCTCATCTATCCTGTCAGAAATACATTGCTTATTCTTAAAATTTAGCTATTTATTTAAAGGCAGAAAGAATAATATTGTTGACAATTACAGCTCTACTTTCTCATACTACCTTATGTTTGTATATATTTTATAATTTATAATGAGGTATTTTTCATTTAAGTATCAATAACCAAATAAAAGCTAGAAAAAAAGAACTCATTTAACAAATGCTAAATCAGATTTATACAGTAAATTGGGAAACTACAAGTACAATGGGAGTCTAGTTTGTAGATTTTTTTTTAAAGAATGTCTAAAAAAAAGAATGTCTTAAATTATAGGTCTTGTTATAAATAACCTGCTCAGACAGATATTTTAAAATCCATAATATTGACTCAACTATTTTCATTTGAATTGAAATAATTTTAAAATATTTATACAGGTTTTTAATCAGGAAGGAGAATTCATGTTGAAGTTTGGCTCAAATGGAGAAGGAAATGGACAGTTTAATGCTCCAACGGGGGTAGCTGTGGATTCAAACGGAAACATCATTGTAGCCGACTGGGGCAACAGCAGGATCCAGGTAGATTAAAGTGCTAATTTATCTGTGTTGAGTGATTGGTATTTGTTAAAAAGTGAAGAATTAACTGTCCCTAGACCTTAATGTTTTTCATTCTCATGGGTTAGGTCATAAAACCATAGATAATCTCATAAGCAGTGCCAGACTAAGAAAGGTGGAGACGAAAAATGTCAACATATTACCAGAGGGAAACCCTCTAAGTCAGGTGTTTTTAACACGTATTCCACCGACACCCCCCCAAAGGGTTTGTGGATAAGATTCATGAGGTCATTCGAACAAAAATATTATATTTTTGTTTTTACTAACTTCTAATTAAAAATCATCATTTACTTTCATGATGAATATAGGCAAAATGACATTCTTTTTTTTTTTTTTTTTAATATCTATAACTTTGTCACCAAGAGAAAACACAGAAATTTTCATGTTACAGTTGCAGACATCTCCAATTATCATTTATGCTCATTCAAAATTGTAGTTATTAGTAGGCCCATCACTATTTCTTGTTATTTAATGTATTAGTTTAAAAAGCACACATATTACTCTAATTAAAATTTTTGTAATATTTTTATTATATTTTAATATGATTGTTTTCTTTCATAATATCACATATTTTGTTTCATGTTTTGCTAATTAACCTGAGCCAAAGAGGAAGTCTTAAGGAAAAATTTTAAATATATTGGCTGAATGAAAATGCAAATACAGCATATAGTATTTTGTGGCATGCAACTAAAACAGTGCCGAAAGGGAAATTTCCCGAACCCAAACTTTGTTGAGATTGACATATCACACTGGGTTAGTTAGTGTACAATGTGTTGATTTAATACTCTTATATATTGTAAAAAATAGCATTACATAACATCATCATGTCCCAGTCACATTGCTATCGGAGGAGTACGCGAATGGGATTCCTCCATTGCTGGTGGGGTTCTTGGGGTACCGCTGAAATAAGTGTTTTCGGAATTCCCCGTGAGAGAATGAGGTGTGGTAGGAGACTTTGTTTAGAGAAATAGTTCTTAGTTTCCAGTGTCCCATTCCCCTCAAACCAGTCCTGAAAGAGGAGCAGCCGTGGGGGCAGCAAAGCCATGCCCGGAGCTTCCTTTCCATGTTGCATCCGAGTCCAGTTCAACATTCAGGCTAATTGAGGTCCATTAGTCCATTCTGTGGAGTCCACATGGCCACGGGCCACAAGGACAAATGCAGAGGAGCACGTCCCCTGCCACAGGGGTCAGGTGCAGGTAGCAAGGGAGAGGCCAAGAGCCAAGAGCCAAAAGGAGAGAACTCTCTTTGTTCAGAAGTTTAAATATTCAGTGTCAAATCCTTGCAGTGGCCATGTCTATTCTGGCCAATTACTTGTCCCAAGGTATGATTGACAGACAGGTAAGCACTTTCCCATGTCACTCAGACCTTATTGGGCATGTGTATAAACTGTCTTTGCCCAGTCTCTTCCCCCAGCGGTCAGTAGGGAATACACTCAGAGAGTGTTAAATTAGCAAAGCTGTATAAATGGAATGCTATATCATCTAGTCCTCCCTTTACTCCTTTCCTGTTAATAATAGCCAGGTTATTACAGCAGAATCTGCATAATTACCATTTCTTTTTTTGTGGTGAGAACATTTAGGTCTACTCTCTTGGATGCTTTCAAGTGCACAATACAGTATTGACTGCATTGTCATCCTGTGCATTAGATCCCCAGAACTCATCTTCTAACTGGAAGTTTGTACCCTTTGACCAACTTCTCCCCATTTCCCTCACCCCCCAGCCCTGGAAACCACCACTATACCTGAGAGGGAAATTAATAGCACTAAATGCTTACATTAGCAAAGAGGAAAAGTTGAAAATCCATCATCTAAGCTCCCACCTCGAAAAGCTAGAAAGGAGAAAAACAAACTGAAAGCAAGCAGAAGGAAGGAAACAGTGAAGATAGGATCAGATCGATGAAATTCAAGATAGGGAAACAATTAAGTCGGTTCTTTGGAATGATCAATAGAATTGACAAGTCTCTAGCAAGACTGACAAAGGGAGAAAAGACACAAAATACTAACATCCTATAGACTCTGCTGACTTCACAAGGATAATAAGGAGATTCTATGAACAACTCCACATGCATCCATTTGACAACGTGGATGAAATGAACCAACTCCTCAAAAAGTACAAACTGCACTTTGTATAAATAAATGATTTGAATAACCTTACAATGATTAAGGAAATTTAGTTCATAATTTTAAAACTCCCCAAAACAAACCTCCAGACTCAGATGGTTTCACTTGAGAATATTATCAAATGTTTAAAGATTCATTTTTTTAAGCACCATCCAGGGCAGCGGTTGCCAACCTTTAGACCTCCTGGACCACCAGTGGTCCATGGACCACCAGTTGGCACCCGCTGATCCAGGGCGTTCCCCTCCAATCTGACCGCTGAAGGAATAAAAGTGGCTAATGGCATGTTCTTTGTCAGTGACTCTTAGAGAGTGCGAGGAGAAAAAGCAAGGTAAGTGGAGGAGAGAGGTATTGTATGTTCGATAGTGACCTAAACAAACCTAGATACACATGCTTTTACAAACATTTGTAAATTATTTCTCGTCATATTACTAAAACTTTTCCCGTAACATTCCATTTTTGACAGGTTTTTGATGGAAGTGGATCGTTTCTGTCCTACATTAACACATCCGCTGACCCACTCTATGGTCCCCAAGGCCTGGCCCTGACCTCAGATGGCCACGTTGTGGTTGCAGACTCTGGGAACCACTGTTTCAAGGTCTACCGGTACTTACAGTAATGGTGGGCGGCCGGCAGCCCCTTGCAAAGGTCTTGCACTATAAACTGGAATGGATTTCTCGCCGCGGGACCAGATTATACTAGACTTTTCATGCTAGAAGGAATCATTGGTGAACTTTCCAAGGTTATTTCTGAATGTAACAATTTCCTTAAAAACTGTGTATTTGATTTCTGTCATTGACCTTTGGGGTTAAAAAGGAACTATAGACACTGCAAAGTTTTACACCTGTGAACTATGGCTTATAGGACAGGGATGTATGTAGTGTAACCAATTGTGCAAATCAAGTAAGCATTAAAAAAATACCTGAGAGATCTAAAGGTATTTGTTAAGCCTGTGAATGGCAGCCTTTGCACAGAGCTTCCAAAAACAAGACAAAAACAAAACAAAAACAAAGTCTGTTGTAGTTATACCCTTTAACCTCGGTCATAAGACCTGGGGGATCTTCTAACCTCACTTTTACACTTGGTATGACTCTTGTGACATTTTTTTGGGCTATCAATAACTACATATAAATTACTTAAAAAAAAAAAAAAAAAAGATAGTCTTGCAAAAATCCTCTCACCTGGGATTAGCAGGCCTCTGAGTTGAGCGCTTAAAAATAAATGCAAACTTTCTATCCTTCCTGGGTTAGATCAAAGATCCATTTTCGGGTTCTTTTCACCTTCTCTCTCCTAATCACCTTTGTCTCGAAAAGCTAAGTACATTTTTTCAGGGAAACCTGAAACTCTCAATGCTTTGAAAAGCATATGATAATAGTAATGCTACCTGTTGGTAAACAAACAGCCCAACTCCAGATCAATGCACTGGATGTAATCAAGAAAAAGTTACGTTTTATGTGCCATGTTCTCACCTGTGTCTCTCCTCTTCCACTTCATGAAAGCGAAAGCTTTACCTCCTGCAAAATGTCAGCACATGTAGTAGGACACCAGTGTCCTAGGACAGAGAGCCATAAGTAGCCCTTCGGAGGACGGATGGTGTCAACCAAAGGCATGTGACTGAGTAATGGTTCCCCCTTAGAGAGCAAGTGTTACCAAAGTTGTGAAAGCGTTACAGGTAAGGACATGTTATGGTTATTTATCATTGTCTAATGAATAGTAGAGGCATTAAAGGACTATGTATACATGATTAGGGTAAGGTAGAATGTATCATATATATCTATATAAATAGCTGAATCTTTGGTGTATTGAAATAGGCAGCACTCTGAAAGACAGAAAGCGTCGTCCAGCCTTTCTTCAGCACATTCCTTTACGGAGCAGCTTCAGGCCGTCCTGTCCTAGTAGAACAAGCCCCAAAGCAGATTTCATCTTTGCCATTTCCCAGGAATGATGGTATTGGCTGACTTTGCATCAGAAAATGACCTTCTGGTCTTTCAAAAAAAAAACAAAACAAACAAAAAACAGGTCAAAAGAGAAAAGTTAAACTTGAATTACATGTAGATGAGCTATAAATGCATTTTGAGAAAGAGTAAGAAGAATTTAGTTGGTCCATTAATCTGTCGTTGGTACTGTAAAGTAAGATGTGGTTTATTTTCACTGTTTAGTTTTCTACTCAGTTCTACCAAATAGGATGTCATGTTTGGCATTTTCGATAATGACTTTGGGATCTTCTTTACTGAAAGCACCTTAGAGCTGTACTATAAGAAAGCATTTCCCATATGCATAATTATATGAATGTGATGTTTATTGCTTTTTAATTTATAATCCAGCCCTTTTCATTTAGGATTTTTTTTTTTAAATTAGAAGGAAAATCTAGATACTTCCAGTTGTCTATCAAATTTATGCCCAAATCAACCTCTGGAAAAAAATTTTTTTAGAAAGATTTACACTTAGATTTAGTACATCTTTAGTTAGGTAGAGTTTTCAAAATATTGAGATTTTGATAAAAGTATACAGTTCAGTAACATTTTTAGAATGTTAAGACACTGTTTCCTAACATGAGTGGAAAAAGTCTTTGAATTTAAATATTCATATTTAATGAGTGCCTACTAGGAGCCAGGCTGTTCTTGGCACTGGGGACTTAGTGATGGAGGAAACAGACAAAATTCCTGCCCCCTTGGAACTTACACTCTAGGGAGGGAATTTCATTTTGCTCTTTATTAATAATTTGCCTAAACGATAAGCTAGACTTCTAATAGCTCCTAGATTATTTAAAAGAAAACTTTTAAAAATTGGTTAAATTCATTTTAGTTTATTTCCACAAGTAAAAAATGGCTTCCTACTTAGATTCTGTCACAGGCTATTGATATTAAGACTAGTTTACTTAAAGTTTTTTTTTCTTTTTTGCACAACATTTAAATTATATGTGTGAATTTAGAAATTAAGCAGCTATCATACAGTATAATGCTGAATATCTCAATTAGTAGATTGAAGACAAAGCTAATTTTTTTTTTTTTACATATTAATATTGGCACAAACTGGAATGAAAGAAAAGGTACTTTGATTCAGACCTGTTTATCTGCTACATGCACTCCAGGAAACACTATATTTCCCCCCCAAAAAAATATGTAATCATATATATTAAAATATAAATAACATTTCACATTTGGATACATATGTGCATTTACTGTATTTCTTGGTAAGCATCTTTTGGGGGCAAAGTGCTGCTAAGATACAAATAGACAAGATTTAAGTGAAATTTTGTCACATTCTATGGAAAATGGTTTCTGGTAAACTGAGAAGGATATTTAAAGTAAGTGACTTTCTTCTGGGCTACCATTATTGCTTGATTTCTCTTTGTTAAGTGTACAGAACCTGTCATACATTCATGATACGTAGCACTGAAAAATTATCCATTCAAATTTCCCCTGGGCACTATGGTCAAATATTGCCAGTCAGAATGTAAAGGTCAGTGACAATGCATCTCTTCCCAGTGCAGACCTCCCCTGCTGGACATGGGTGGTAAAGATCACTTGACCATTCAGAAACACATGAATAAAAAGCCTTTATGACTTTGCCATTTTTTAATGGTACTTAGTATTTTGATCAAACTATTTCATCTCAAGTAACTTAAGCAAGTCCCCACGTTTCCTTATTTTCATTTATTTCTTGACTAGATTTGAGGCAAGTAAATACTACAGGCCCATGAAACTAGAACACACTTGCTTCTACACTAAATATACAGGGTATGTCCTCACATGGGATTAACTGGAATAGCGGTACACTAGCAAGTGACTATGGATCCTTAACATTAAGGGGTTCACACGCATGCTTTGGCAGTGCCTACTGAGTTCATTGGAGGGAATGCCAAATAAACATCAGGTCATCTGTAGATTGCTTCAAATGGGGGGAAAAAAATCTTTTTGTACCTTTGGACTCTACAGGATCCTCTCTATTCACCAGCTTGTGAAAAGGAGGGAGTATTTTTAGTTCAATCATTTTTAAAAAGACATTTCCAGGTAGGGTAAAACTAAAAGCTACTTGCTGCAAACATTATCTAAGTTGTAATACTGTTGCATTCTGTAAACGTTGCAGGGTTTTAAAATTTACAATTACTTTAATATTTTTGATAACTAGAAATCTAGTATTGCCATAAAGGAACTAAGTGCCCATTAAAGATTTGTTTGGTATAAATAAATAATTTTTTTGTTTGTTTTAAATGACAGTAAGCTACAAATCATGGTGTTAATCTTAAACTTTCCCAAGATGAATTGTGTGGCAGTGATCGTATGGTTGGTTTGTGGAGAACGTATGAGAGCTATTACTATTCTAAAACCGATTGATAAGCTGGCTATGTTGTTCCAATGAATGTACAGCATTTCCATGAACCTTTGAAAGCAGCACAGCCTTAAACTCAATGCTTTTGCTTTGTTGACTCGGAATGTTTTGTCATCAACCAGAGTGTATTCTTGTAATGGAATTCTTTATATCGTTCTCAAGTCTAGCTTTTCAGTCCTATGTATAAGTAAACAGATTTTTTTTTTTGCTTCCTTTTTTCTTTTTGTTTAAAATTTTGTACATTCCACCTGTATAGGCCTGTTTCACCCGTCCTATGTATAGAACACCGAGCCTCGCGCTCTCTGACATTGATTCTGTTGGATGTATTCTCATTTGTTCTTTTATGAATCAAAATGCTGACTGCCTATTTAAAGAAAAGAATAAACGCTGTGCATCGAAGTGTTTGTATGTTCGTAGCTGCATACGTACCACAGTATTTTGGATGCTTTTAGTGTACAATAAAACTTTAATTCTGTCTTGAAACATGAGAAACAAGATTCATGCGTATTATCTTTACCATGCACAAAAAGAAAAATCTCAAATCATTATAATAAAGCTTGTTTTCTCCATTTCCAGGGTGGATGTTTGCTTATTTCACATAGTCTCTTCTCTAAGGTAGGGCAATGAAGGAATGTTGTAGAATTTGTGGAAGGTTAGCCATCCCTCAAACACCTTCCATTAGTGCAGTGTTTCCCAAACTTCTCTCATGATGAGAATCACCTGGTGGAGTTGTTAAACTACAGATTCCAGAATCCCAACTAAGAAGTGCTAAACTAGAGTTTTTGAGAACATACAGGTAAAATTGTATACTTAACTAGTGCTCTAACTTAAAATTGTATACTTAACTAGGGCACTTAGTTACAATTTTACCTATATGTTCCAAAAAATTCTAGTTTAGCACTTCTTAGTTGGGATTCAGGAATCTGTAGTTTAACAACTCCACCAGGTGACTCTCATCATGAGAGAAGTTTGGGAAACACTGAACTAGTGAGAAGGTTCCGCCCCACCCCGGCCGCCAGGGGTCGCTGCGCGCCTTCGGGGCCAAGGTCGGTCCCTCCCACCGCTTCCCCCGCGTCACCCCGTCGCCCCGCCCCCGGGGCGGGGTTGGCGCCAAAATCAAACCCTCCCGGGCGTGCCCCGCCCCTCGCCCCCGGAAGACGCCCGGCTGCGCCATGGTAAGAACTGAGGCTGGCGCCGGGGTCCCCTTCCCCCCCAGTCTCCGGCTGTAGGAGGCCCCGATGGGCTTCGGGGCGCTCCGCCGTGGGCCTCACGCCGAGGGGGCCGCCTGGTCCACACCCCGGTTCCCCCCGCCCTTTCCGGCCCGACGCGGCCCAGGGCGCACGCCGCCCACCTGCCTCCGCCGCCCGAGCCGGAGCCGGAGTGCAGCGCGGGAACCCCCTCCCCGCCCCCCTGCACCTCGCCCCGCTGCACTCCCCTCCGCTGCACCCGCGGGTGGCGGCTGTCTCCCGGGCGGGGGCGGTGAGACCCCGGCATGTTCGGGAGCGGGACCTGAACCTTGCAAACCCTCCCTCTGTCCGGGGACCTCGAGTCATTTCCCAGCCGGCGCCCCTGCTCCCCGCCCGACGGCCGCCCCCCAAGCGCAGCCCCTTAGAGAGAGCCCGAGCCCGGGCGGGACGCCCTGGGCCCTCGCTCCTTGACTAAGGTGACCAGACGCCCCGCTTTTGAACAGTTTGTCCCGCGTCCCGCGGCGTTTTAAAGAAGTCCCGATTTTAAAATCGGGACTAATTTAAAACGACGCGGGACAGACTGTTCAAAAGCGGGACGCCTCGTCACCTTTTCCTTGACCATGGAGTGGTCTTCTGCATCGCCACGGGTTAGAGGACGTTTCCGGATGGCTGTCCATTTCCTAAGCAACCCAGGGGAATCCTCACTTCCGGTGAATTGTCTGAAAATAAGTTGTTTTCTTGCAAAGGGCACGCACCTCCCTGTGGGGCCGCGGACAGCTGGTGGGCGGGGAGCTGGCCGCTATGTCCGCGACGCACCTGGGAGGGTCCAGATCCTCCCTCTGCGAGCTTAATGTCTTTGTGGTCAAGTCATTGTCATAAATCTTCAAAGCTTCATGCTGGCTTTTTTGTGTGTTTTTTTTGTTTTGTTTTGTTTTCTGCTTTTGTTGGCAGACAAATCAACCTTTAATTAAACAGCTCTAAGATTTTAATATCTTAATTTAGTGAAGTGGCCGTTATTCTTGCCCAGTTAGTGGTAGACAGGGATTTAGGTTGCACGCTGTTTATTTGAAGATTCTTGTCCAGATGTAATTATAGCCAATAACGGCTTCTTTGTGGTTCAACTACCGTCCCAGCCACCTGGGCGTGACAAGAAGCCAAACGGGACCACGCTCAAATCGGTTACCAGGGCTCCGTGGTGTCACATTTCTCTATGATGTTGTTGGCCCAATAGAACTGAAGACTGATAAGGATCACTAACTTTGTCCCTTTCCCCAATCTCTCTCCACTCATAAGTCACCTAATATTTATTTTATTTTTTTTAATATATATTTTATTGATTTTGTACAGAGAGGAAGGGAGAGAGATAGTTAGAAACATCGATGAGAGAGAGTCATCGATCAGCTGCCTCTTGCACACCCCCTACTGGGGATATGCCTGCAACCAAGGTACGTGCCCTTGACCGGAATCGAACCTGGGACCCTTCAGTCCACAGACTGACGCTCTACCACTGAGCCAAACCGGTTTCGGCAGTCACCTAATATTTAATGTTAACTCTTTTCAGCTGCTTCCCTCTGATGATGGAGACCCATGAAACAAATTAGGAAACTTTTTGTAAGCCCTATCCTTCCTATTTTTTTTTTGTTAATGGCTAAGAATTAAAGTTAGCATTCTTTTCATCAAAGATGCCTTTCCTTTTCTCTCCTGATGGTGAGTTAAGAGCTGTTTTGACTTGGTCGGGCTTGCTGAGTAAACAGTTTAATTAAAGTTATATACTTGGGAAGTGGAGAAAGGCAGAGTATCCTGCCACTTCTGAGGGTGACAGCTATCTCCTTTGGAATTTGCAAAATTTTATTGTGATTGATAAACAGGGCTGGCTGACTTTAGGAATTCTGTGACTCCTAATTGGGGAAGGTTCCTTTGTTGCCCTCAAGTCAAGTTTTGAGTCCCCTTACTTACTAATTTGAAGACATCTCTTAATTTACAGTAGTAGGAGATTTTCTTTATTCTTAAGTATTAAGTAGATGAGCTTTTAGATGCATGGTTCTGAAATTAAGGCCCGGCCTTTACGCCTGCTCTGTCTAACCTGGCGCTGAAGCTCTGGGAAGGCAGAGGCAGTTCATGTTTGAAGATTTCCAGGCCGCGGAGACAAGTAAACACATCTTTTTAACTGTAGTTAGTGATGTGACGAAGCTGTATTCTGGGAACACGTGGAATGGCACTCAGCCCAACCTGTGAGCTCAGAGAAATTCTCTTAGAAAATGCCTTACTGAAGCCTGGAGAGACTTTTTGGAGTTTCGAATAGGTGAGAGGAGAAGGTGTTTTAGGTAGAACAACATTTTTAAAGGCACCAGAATGGGAAAGCACATTCTCTGTGCGGAGAATTCCAAGTAGTTTCTGTATTACAGATCGGATTGCTAGCTCTCCAGATTTTCACGTAACATTTGAGGTGAGGAGTGGTACCTATGAGAGTAGTCGGATCAGGTGATAGAGGGTCTGTACATATCTGTCCAGGGTGTTGGGGACTTCTGGATAGTTGGGATCCGCTGAAGGCTTTTGACAGTGCAGCATGTGGACTCAGAAAGTACAACAAAATGTGCGTAGGGGGCTGCAGCTGTGTTGCAGGAGACAGGCAAGGAAAACCTGAATTGAGGTAGAGGTGGTAGGCATGGAACAGACTGGAGATTTGTGAAATATAATAGTTAAGCACTGAAATGGGCAGACATTGGTGATTGGTTGGATGTGGGATAAGATGAAGAGACAGGATAACTGTCAGGCTGCTGCTCTGGCCTGGGTAGCTCGGTGGTATGTTACTGAGCTCAAAATCTACAACAGCAGGTTTGGCGAGTAGCAGAGGGAGAGGAGGAATTCAGTTCAAGCCTCCTGAGTTTGAAGTCTGTCCAGCAGGCAGGTAGATACAGGAGATCAAAGCTCAGGAACACACTCAAGGACTCATCTGTAAAGATTTGAGGACCCGGTGTGTTAGTTAAAACGTGAAAGCAGATGAGATCAAGAAAAGGTGGGAGGAGAAGAGGGCATTGATAGAGAACCCCGAGGAACTGCCGTGTTTGAGAGTAGACAGAGGAAAAGGAGAAACATAAACTTTAAGGGTACTTATTTTACCCATATGGCGCATCAAGGAAGGCAGGATTATTTTATTGCTGTGAAGATGAGTGGTGGATTCTAGGGCCTGCAACAGAGTAAAGACTCATGCTCTGGTGTATGTTCAGAATGGCAATTCCAAATCCTCTCCAGGTGTCCTGGGCTCTCGTTTTCTGATGGAGTTTCCGGTTTGATATGGCCGATCTTTAATTGTTGTTTTACGTACGTTTGCATTTGTAGTGGTATGACGTGTTTTAAACTTATTCTTTATGTGCAGTGTTTGAGAAAGATGCAAATGTTTAAGAAACATGACTGCAGAGTCCTCTATTAGAATACTAAGATGATGGTTCTCGTTCTCTTTTGTTATTTTCTGTGAATCTTTGAGTTGAGAAAATTTGGCGCTTTTTTTAAATATATATTTTATTGATTTTTTTACAGAGAGGAAGAGAGAGGGATAGAGAGTGAGAAACATCGATGAGAGAGAATCATTGATCAGCTGCCTCTTGCACACCCCCTATTGGGGATGTGCCCGCAACCAAGTTACATGCCCTTGACCGGAATCAAACCCGGGACCCTTCAGTCTGCAGGCTGACGCTCTATCCACTGAGCCAAACTGGTTTTGACTCCCCCCCCCCCCCCTTTATTTTGGACTGGCTATCCAATAGATAGTAAAATTTATTAACATGCATTTTAGTTTCATATTATCTAATTTCAGGTTGGCTAAAAGATAAGAGAATGAAAATAACCTGACATGGGCTCCATTTTCTACTTGGATAGGTTTTTCTCCCTCCAGGCCACCCTCCCCAGGGCTACTACAGCTTCTTACTAAATGTAATTCTAACCTACCACTCCCTGCTTTAGAAATTGTGCTGTAGCTGCTCATTGCCCAGAATACAATCAGCCTTCCATCATCTGGCCCCCAGACTACCTTTCTCACTCTCCCTTACGCTCCCTGCACATGCTCCATACAGTTATCATCCAGAGCCTTTCTGGAACAGACCAGGCACTTCTATTATATTGTCCCTGGACACCTTTCTCACCATGTCTCAACTCACCAAAATCCTCCTCATCTCTGACTTTCCTTGTGAACACTCCCTTCCTCCCTGAGTGGAATTAACTCATTCTGACCTGGGTAGCAATTCAGTCTGTTCTGGGTAACAATCTGTGCGTGTTTATCAATTACAAATAGTTATATCTATGTATTTTCTTTGATAGATTGTAAGTCTTTCTAAGGTAAATGCAGTACTTGCCACTGGGTCATTTGATAAATAATGAATTCATACAGAAAGCCAGGCTCTGTCTCCGTCACAGTTTTAACTGTACTGGCAGCACCTAGCACAAGGCTTGACTATAATCGTAGAATAGTTCAAATCAGTCTTGAGGCCTGGCTGTGACTGTTATTAAGCTTGTTGGTACCAGGCAAAATCATACATAAAACTTCTGGTAATGTTTTAAAAATGCAGTGTTTTAAAAAATTCAGTGTCTACTTTTTAAATTTTGTGCTTTAGTCGAAGAAAAAAGGACTGAGCGTAGAGGAAAAAAGATCCCGCATGATGGAAATATTTTTTGAGACGGTAAGTCATTTTCCTTAAGATTTTTTGTATTTTGCATAATTATATCCTTACATATATGTCATCCAGTGTTAACTGTACTTTTTTTTTTTAATCCTCACCCAAGGATATACTTTTTCATATATTTTAGAGAGAGGAATGGAGAGAGAAACATCGATTTGAGAGAAAAACATTGATAGTTTGCCTCTAGCATGCACCCTGACTAGGACTCCAACTGGACATGTGCCCTGACCGGGAATCAAACCTGCCACCTTTTGTCTACAGGTCTACACTCCAACCAGTGGAGCCAGACCAGCTAGAGGTTAACTGTACCTTTTTAATTAGAGATGAATACTCACCAACTTCCTGAAGAATGAATAGAATTCTGCAAATATTTGTGGTATTTGTGAGTTATGGGATATGGAATAACTAAATGTTCACAGAGTCTCTTCTATCCAGACTATCCTACATGCTGGACCCAGAATTATATTTCTGAAGCATATATTTGTCCTCTTTCTGCCTGAAACTAATAATAAGATTAGCTCACATCCAGTGAGACCCCCAGCTGGCCAGGGTGAGGTGCCAACTGGTCGGGGTGAGGGAATGTGGGCGGTTGGCCAGCCAGCCCCACAAACCCTGGTCGAACTCCCAGTCAAGGGGACAATTTGCATATTAGACTTTTATTATATAGGATTATATACTGGACATAATTGTATGTGCAATATAGCTGGCAGTGTAGTAGGTTTGTTTATACCAGCATCTCCACAACACGTGGGTAAGCTGCACTATGAGATGGCTAGCTAGGCGATAGGAATTTTTCAGCTCTGTTATAATCATACAAGAGGCCCGATGCACAAATTCATCTAAGAGTAGGCCTTCCTTCCCCCAGCTGCTGGCCCTGGCTTCCCTCTGGCACCCGGACTTCTCTCCAGTTTCTGGCAGGGACTTGGGCAGCCCCGGATTTGTCTTGAAGGGCCCGGACTTCTCTCCAGTTTCTGGCAGGGACTTGGGCAGCCCCGGATTTGTCTGGAAGGACATCCAGTCTAATTAGCATATTATGCTTTTATTATTATAGATGGCATGTTGACCGAAAGGTCATTATGAAGTACATAACTGGGATTGTATTAAATTGACTGATTTCAGTTCATATATTCCCATATACAGGGTGTCCCCCCAAAATGTATACACCCTTTGAATGATTATAAAGTCAGTATTTATTACCATACAGTTCGTTTTCAAAATTTAAAGGAATCTATAGAAATGAATAATCTTTTTTTGTCAATGCTTGTTTTTAAACTGATGACTATTCTGGTCCAGGCATTGCTGATAATATGAAGCAGTGGAATCGCAAACATCAAGAATCATTTTGACTCTAGCTGATTTGGCTCAGTGGATAGAGCATCAGCCTGCAGATTGAAGGGTCCCAGATTCGATTCCAGTCAAGGGCACATGCAAGGTTGCAGTCTCGATCCCCAGTAAGGGGCATGCAGGAGGCAGCTGATCAATGATTCTTTTTCATCAATGACGTGTTTTTTTTTCTCTCTCCCTCTTCATTCCTCTCTGAAATAAAAAAAAATAAGAATTTTGTTTTTGTTTTTTTAAAATATATTTTATTGATTTTTTACAGAGAAGAAGGGAGAGAGATAGAGAGCTAGAAACGTCGATGAGAAACATCGACCAGCTGCCTCTTGCACACCCCCTACCGGGGATGTGCCCGCAACCAATGTACATGCCCCACCGGAATCGAACCTGGGACCTTTCAGTCCGTAGATCGACACTCCACCACAATAATTATTGTCTAATTGCTGAGTATGTCCATTTTAATATTTTATTTTGGTTATCCAAGTTTTTTTCATCACTTTAACCAAGGCTTATTACAAAAAGAAAGGAGTAACTGAAAGATTAAATATTCTACATATATAGGTTCCCATAATGTTTTAATTTGGTGGACAAGCAACATGTATTAAAAATGATTGATAGGCAGCCATGAATATATAATTTTCCTATGTAAGTAGCTCTTCCATGAAACTAAATATAAACAATTCTTGATAGTTGTCTGTTTTGTTTTTAATTGGTACTGCTAAATCTGTAATGTATGATATATACTAAGCAAAATACTGTTTGTGTTTTCTTAAAACCAGTGTCAGAGAAGCTAGATTATCTCATGTTAACAAATTATTCATTGTAACTAGTTTTTATACTTCAGTGGGAAGCTGTTCTTCAGTTACTTTAAGATTTGCATGTCCATAAAAACCTGTCCATTTTAACTTCTAAGGTATTAAACAAGATAATTATAGTTTCTTCTGGCTCCAAAAATGCTTGATTCTATTGCATTGTTCATTTCCAGATATAGTTTTTTTTAGTACTTTGTTTTGTGTATGAGCAGAATTATGGTAAATATAAGTATATAGTAGAAAAAAATACAGGTTTTTCATTTCTTTTTAATATTTTTTTTTTTTAAACAGAAAGATGTATTTCAATTAAAAGACATGGAGAAGATTGCTCCCAAAGAGAAAGGCATTAGTAAGTATCAAAGATGTGCCAAAATATGTAGGGAAATATTGGTCCTCTTTTCTGCTTCAGTCTTTCATTTTATGGAAACAAATTTCTAGGGATGAATGTTTGTAAATGTATAATGTGTAATGTATAGTGAAACAGGTCCATCATTATGGTGTTATACAAGGATTTTCACTGCCCTAAAATTCCTCTGTGCTCTGCCCGCCTCAGAAAGTCTTTACATGAGGTCTTTGGGCCATGGCCATGATTTCTGTGTTTGGAGTAATTTTGAAATCGAGTATGCATGTATGCCCATGTACACACATATATACATACATGCAAATATACACATTTATCTACTTATGGGCATAATTTACTTCAAAAGAAATAAAAACTGTTCATGTATGTTTTAATATTTGTTAAATGTTACTTTTTGTCCTTACCTGGTGTATTCATTTTCTGTAGCAGCAAATTACTACAAACTTGGTAGCTTAACACAGTAGAAATTTATTCTCTTAGTTCTGGAGACCAGAAGTCAAAAATCAAGGTGTCAACAGAGTTGGCTACTTTTGGAGGCTCAGAAGGAGAATCCATTTCTCTCCTACCTTCTGGTGGCTGCCCACAGTGCTTGACTTAGAGACACATCATTCTAACCTCTGCCTCTGTCTTCACATGACCTTCCCCTTTGTTATCTCCCCTTCTGTCTCTTACAAGGACACATGCCATTGAATTTGTGACCCAGCCAAAATCCAGGATGATTTCACCTGCAGATCCTTAATTATATGTACAGATGCTTTTTCAAATATGGTCACATTTACAGGTTCTGGGGATTATCTTTTGAATGTCCACTGTTAAATTCATTACATAGGATACATATTGGTGTATTTTGATGTCTTATTTTTAGGTTCTATTTGTCTTTGTATGTATGTGTCCATTTCTCTGAGAAAGAACTATGCTGCATATACAGTTTTGTGTTCATGACTTTTTTCACATAACATATCATTCACATTTACCTATATCATGTGCTTTTAAAAAAATGATGTACAACACCTGCATCTCTTAATGTTTAATTCTATGACTACTTAGTGTGCCATGATTTGCTTAGCCTGTTATCCGTTGTTGAACATCTACGTTGTTCCCAAATTTTGCTGCTAAAGTTAATGTGCAATTAACATGCTATCCATAAATTTTTTTCAAAAGACTTTTTTTTTTTAGAGTAGTTTTAGGTTCACAGAAAGATTGAAAGGAAGATACAGAGATTTCTCATTTACTTCCTGTCTCCCACTCCCAACATGCATAGCTTCTATTAACAACATCACTCAACAGTGGTACATTTATTACAATTGATGAACCTGCATCGACACATCATAATCACCCAAAATTCGTCATTTACATTAGGGTTCACACTTGGTGGTGTACATTCTATAGGTTTGGACAAATGTATAGTGACACAGATATATCATTATGGTATTATACAGAGTATTTTCACTGCCCTAAAAATCCTCTGTGCTCTGCCCATTTACTCCTTCCTCTCCCTTTCATAAATTTTTCCCATATCTCATATTACTTCATAAGGAAATAGAATAGAAAATGGAGACTTGTGTAGTCATAGGCCAAATTACCTCAGGAAAGTCTATATCAAATTAAACTCATTTATTTCTCAGAACTGTGTTTTCACTTTAGAACATTTTGACATTTCACTTCAGTTTGTATTTCTTTACACAGGAGGTTGAATGTGACACATATTTGGTATCAATTTTATTTATATATTAAATCTTTAATTTTTAGATAGATTTTATTGTATTTGGTGATCTGCTCTAGGAAAAATTGAAATGGACATCAAAATATGGGTAATTTTTTGATATAGTTTTATTTAATAGAAAATAAGAATTGTTTATGAATTTTCAAGTTTTTGTGTAATATAGCTTTGTATTTTTTTACATGCTATTTTAAAAAATGTTTTTCTGATTTTTAAACTTGTTCGGTTTATTATTTATTTTTCATAATAGTTTTATTTTCGTTTTCTTGGCAGAAATGGCAATAAGTATATGTTATTGGAAAAAGAAAAATGAGTAAAAAGAAAGAAAGAAAAATTGCCTCTTAACATGTTATTCAAAATAACACTGTCACATTAACATATACTGTCATTTAAACTTATTTTTGACATAATATGTTCTATATTAAATATTTTGAATATATATATATATATATACCATGCCATTAAATATTTTATAACATAACTTTAATGATTGCATATATTCCATTACAATAAAATACTTTTAAAAGTCCCGTTATTGGACTGGTTCCCAACTTTTTACTATTGAAAACTACTTTGACAGGCATCCTTATGCATATCCATCATTATTTTCTTTGGCTGAATTTATAGAAGTGGAATTTCTACACAAAAGGCGTGCATAAACCTAAAGCTTTAGGTGCATGTTGCTGTGTTTTTCCACCCATGTTGAGAGTATATATTTTCCTGAACTCTTTTTTTTTTTTTAGTATTTTTGATAGTCAAAATACTAAATCTCATTGCTTTATTTTACCTCTTTAATTATTAATGTGATTCAACATTGTCTTATTTATTGACCATGAATATTTTATAGATGCTCACTGATATACTTTTGTTTTTCTGTTGCAGTATTGGGCTTTTTTGTTACTATTTTTGAAAGCTCCTTATTTATTAAATTATTAACTCTTGACCTATTCTATTTGTTGCATTTTCCCACCTATTGGCCTTTTATTTATGATATATCTTTAAAAATTATATCTTTTAGCTGCTATGTCGGTGAAAGACGTTCTTCAAAGCTTAGTTGATGATGGTATGGTTGACTGTGAGAGGATCGGAACCTCTAATTATTATTGGGCTTTTCCCAGTAAAGCCCTTCATGCGAGGAAACGAAAGTTGGAGGCTCTGGAGTCTCAGGTAAGCCACCACAGTTAAGAAGTATACATTTGCTTTGTAAAAAATAAATTTGTTTTACTCAGTCTTTTCAGTTAGTGGCTTCTGTTAAATTTTTCACATATACTAAAGATAATCAACATCTCTTTCTCCCATCAGAATCTTAGAATGTTTTAACTTTCATCTTCCCACATACCATAACATTGTTATCTAATATTTTAGATCCTTATAGATTTACAGAAAAACTGATGGGGAGGTACAGAGGATTCTCTAATACCCAACCCCTTCTCCCTACCAAATACACATCTTGTATTAATTTTTGTTTAGAAATTTGCTTTCATCTCTCTTAGGAATTGCTATGTCATAGGATAACACTAGAGGCCAAGTGCACGAAATTTGTGCACAGGTAGGGTCCCTCCGCCTGGCCAGTGATCAGGGCGGATCAGATTCCCCACCTCCTGACCTCCCCTCCTCTTCCTTCCCTCTCTCCCTCAGTGCCCCACTGCCACCCCATGGTGGTCAGTACATGTCATAGCAAGCAACAGAACTCCCAGTCTCCAAGTCAAACTCCTGAGGGGACAGTTTGCAGTTAGCCTTTTATTATATAGGATTATGCTTAACTGAAAAACTTCAGACTATTTTCTAAGGAGTTGCACTATTCGACATTCCTACCAATTTTATCACTTTCTCACCAAAACTTGTCACTACCTGACTTTTTGACTCTAGCCATTTCAGTGGTATCTCATTATTGTTTTGATTTCCATTGCCCTGATGACTAAGGATGTTGAACATCTTTTCATGTGTCTCTTGACCATTTGTATATCTTTCTTAGAGATCTATCAGTTCAGATCCTTTGCCCATGTTTTATCTCTTAAACATGACACCACATTTTCTTTCTGTGAGGAAATGACATGCATATTCATCACTCAGCAATTTTTTAAATTTTTTTATAATATATTTTCATTGATTTCAGAGAGGAAGGGACAGGGAGAGATAGAAACATCAGTAATGAAAGAGAATCATTGATTGGCTGCCTCCTGCACGCCCCCTACTGGGGATCGAGACTGCAACCTGAGCATGTACCTTTGACCTGAATCAAACCTGGGACCATTCATTCTGCAGGCCGAAGCTCTATCCACCGAGCCAAACTGGCTAGGGCCATCACTCAGCACTTTTTAAAAAAGTTTTGCAATTAAAAACTTTATTGAGGAATAATTGGCATGTAAGAACTGCTTATATTTCTTATATTTAAAGTTTATAAATTGATGTTTGACACATGTATACATTCATGAAAGCTTCACCACAGTCAAGATAATGACTTTCCATCACACCAAAAAGTTTTTTCATTCCTCTTTTCAGTATTTCTCTCCTGCTCACTGTTCCCTTGCCCCATCTCTAGACAAGTACTGATTTGCTCTCTGTCACTATGCATTAGTTTATATTTCCTAGGATTTTCTATAAATGGAATAATACAGTATGTTCTCTCTTTCCTGGCTTCTTTTACTCAGCATAATTATTTTAAGATGTATCCATGTTGCTGTATGTACTAATCATTCGCTTTTTATTGCTAAGTGGCATTCTATTGTATGGATGTACAACGGTTTGTTTACCTGTTGATGGACATATGGGTATTTATTTGGATTATTAAAAATAAAGCTGCTATGAATATTTATATATAAGTCTTTGTATGAATATTTGTTTTCATTTTTAAAGGGTAAATCTCAGAATGGAATAGATAGATCATAGGATAGGTGTGGTTTAACTTTTAAGAGATTGCCAAACTGTTTTCCATAGTGTTGTGCTACTTTATATTCCCACTAGCTGTGTATCAGAGTTCTAGTACTTCCAGATCCTGATTAATATTTGGTATGATACCTATTGTAAGTGCATAGTGATAGCTTGTGGTTTTAATTTCCATTTCCATAGTGAGTAATAATCTGAGCATTATGAATGTATACATGTATCATCCATACATCTTCTTTGATGAAGTGTTTTTAACAGATCTTTTTGCCTTTTGAAAAAATCAGGTTGTGGCCTAGCCAGTTTGGCTCAATGGATAGAGCGTCAGCCTGCAGACTGAAGGCTCCTGGGTTCAGTTCCGGTCTAGGGTTTATGTTCAGGTTGCAGCTTTATCCTCAGTGGGGCGTGTGCGGAAGGCAACCGATCAATGATTCTCTCTCTTCCTCTCTGAAATCAATAAAAATATATTTTAAAGAAATAAGGTTGTTTATTTCTATTATTGAGTTTAGACATACTTTCTGGATATAAATCCTATATCAGATAAATGCTTTTCAAATGTTTTTCTCCTAGTCTATAGTTCATCTTTTTATTCTCCTAACTGTTTTGAGGAGCAAAAGTGTTTCATTTTGATGAAGTCTGTGTTATCAATTTGTTTCTTTATGGTTGGTGTTTCTGGTGTTATATATTACTTTCCTCCAGGCAGTTCATGGTTGCAGCTGGGTATATCAGGTGCTGACTAAGCATTTCTTGGTTAACTTTACAAGCCAAAGAAACTTTTTGACTTGAAGCAAAAAGGCCAAATGAGCACTTATCATATTTTTGCCTTTGGGTTTAGCATAATCTCTACTTAGCATGTGGAGGAATTTGGCAAATCCTATATAATAAAAGCCTAATATGCAAATCAATGGAATGGTGGAACACTGGCTGAACAATTGATTGCTATGATGCATACTGATCACAAGGGGGCAGAAGCTCAATGCAGGAGCTGTCCCAGGCCAGCCAAGGCAGGTGCCAGTGGGGGTCCCCTGACCACCCCTCTGGTTGCCTGCAGAGGGAGGCGAACAGTGGTGCTGGCGGGGAGGATGGGGGGACAGCAAGAGGGCAGTGCCAGACCAGCCAAGACGGGTGCCAGCGCTGCCCCCTGTCCCCCAGTCGCCCCACCGGTCACCTCATAGATCAACCCAGATCACCAGCCAGCCTAGGGAACCTACCCCTGCACAAATTTCATGCACTGGACCTCTAGTCTCTCTCTCTCTATATATAAAAGGCTAAGTGACCGGCCTTACTCCATCTGACCGTCTGACAGATACATAATAACACACACTGGCAGTTTAAAAATAAATGACTCGCACATGAGCGATACATATAACAATATCCTGTTTCTCAACTATGATTCTATAACTCACATATTTTAGAGAAGTGACTTGGCTTAATGGAAAGATAGGAATCAGACTGAATTTAAGTCACATTTCACTTCTTGTTAACTAGGATCTTGGAAATTTTCTTAACCTCTTTAAAGTCTCAGTTTCCCAATTTGTAAAAGAGACACTATACTTATTGCATAAGGTTGTGGTGCAGATAAAGTGGTGTGTATAAAGTGCATGGTGGAAGTAGGCACTTGGTATGTGATGGTCACAGATTCAGCTAGATTAGTTCCCATCCAGGAATATATATTCCAAGTTTACTTGTTCAATCAGAACAAATATTTGAGGGTCTACTATGTACAAAACATTTTACCAGATACCAGAAAAATTAGAATTCAAAATCCATGTTTCATAAGAAAAAACTTTTAGCTTGTGCTGAAGCTAATATAATTATACACATGAAAGAGGAAAGTGAAGAGTGAAAAGTGTTACTTTATAGTTAATGTAGAGATTAGAAATGCTGTAAGAGATGGTGGGATTTATATAAAGATAGAAGGCACTGACTTAACATTGAATTGAACCACATTCCAAATTCAAGGTTGCACTGAAGGATCAGTGTATTCAAGACATAGCTAAAGTAAAATGTGAACTTCCTTTGAATTTCTTGTTAATTACTTCCAGATTAGAGAGAGAGAACTCTTAAATTCCCCTGCCCCTCATCATTCTCTTATGCTTTGGTCTGTCAGTGATTGTACAGGAATGTATTCGTTTCTTGAAAGTAGACATTTTTGTAATTTTGTACAGGAAATTAAATCAGGAAACATTTCTTTCTCCCTTCCCATTAGGTTTTATGTGTTGATCATGCTTAAACATATATTATTATATGTTTCTCTTTAACATATTCTGAGCTAGCAAACAAGCCATCAGCTGTGTGTGGGTTGATTTAACTACTTCTACTGATATTTATTCTGTGCATGCATTGTGCCAAGTTTTGTGGGCAATCCTCCTATATAATAAAGAGGAAATATACAAATTGACTGTCATGCCCTTGCACAAGATGGCCGCCCCCATGTAGTCACAAAATGGCTGGCAAGGGAGGGCAGTTGGGTGCAACCAGGCTTGTAGGGGAGGACAGTTAGGGGCGACCAGGTTGGCAGGGGAGGGCAGTTAGGGGCAATCAAGCTGGCAGGGGAGGGCAGTTGGGGGTAACCAGGCCTCTGCCTGATCACCCCTAATTGCCCTCTCCTGCCAGCCTGGTTGCCCCTAACTGCCTCTGCCTGCCTGCCTGATCACCCCTAACTGCCCTCCTTTCCTGGCCTGGTTGCCCCCAACTGCCCTCCCCCTCCAGCCTGGTTGCCCCCAGCTGCCCTCTTTTGCTGGCCTGATCTTGCCCCCAACTACCTTCTGTTGGCCAATTTGGTTCTGAATGGTCGGTTTCTATGTCAGTCAGCATCCCTGGGCCTATCAGCAGGGCTGTCAGCAGCCCTGGTGGAGGCCTGGAGAAAAATGGAGGCTCGGCTGCTGGCCATACTGGAAGAGAAAGAGAGAGGCAAGTGCTGATCAAAAGCTGCCTCAGAGACAACGGATCAGTCCCTGCTTCTCTCCGCAGGCCTCTCTCTGGCCCTGATTCGCTACCTCTCAGCAGTCAGTGCTGGGGCACCCCACCTGCAGTGGAAGCAGTCTGACTTCCCGCTGTTTGAGCTTCAGTCATTACTGGTAATTTCGACCCAGAGTTTTTATATATTAAGATATTCAGGGAAAAACTTTCAAACACTGCCCCCACACATATGTAATATAGTATTACTGTTGCTGGAAATATCTAATGTAGTATTTTATTTCTGCAAGGCTGAAAATAATATTTGGGTTGGGTAGAAAGAAGTTGTTAAGCTAGCCTCTCTAACTAGCTGTAACACAGTTGCA